TATAATATTTGTCCTTTTATATTTGGCTTATCTTTCAATTAACATAATGCTTTCAAGGTTCCTTCGTGTTGTAGCATGTCAAAATTTTATTGTTTTTAATGGTTGAATAATATTCCATCATATGTATAAGCCATGTTTTGTTATCTAATCATCTGTTGATAGACATTTGGGTTGTTTCCACCTTTTAGATTTGTAAATAATGCTGCTGTGAACATTGATGTGCAAGAGTCTAAGTCTCTGCCTTTAGTTTTTTGGGGGATATATTAGGAAGGGGAATAATTGGATTGTATGGTAATTCTATGTTGAAGTTGTTGAGGATCCCCCCCCCCCTCTTTTTTTTAACTAGAGGATTCTACCAACCTATACGGTAAAACAATTCCTAGATCCTGGAAGCAAAGTGTTGTGCAGTGCCTGGCACCTAGTGAGTGCTCAATATGTAGTATTTAGACTTCCTTAACAGTTCTTTAAGTGTGAAAGTAAAACAACACAGTATATTTTCTGCATATGAAGTTTCACCTATGAACTGGTCTGACCAAGAAGCAGATCTCTTAAGTCTAGGCATGCATCAAGCAAGGTGTTTAGTAAACTCATTAACATGTCCAATAAAAGGATAGCTGTGTGTGATAGAAATGTTACTTTTAGAATTCTTTGACCTTTTAAAGAGAAGCCTGTTCTAGAGATAGTTTTTATATTACATAATGTGGGCATCCTAGGTGATTATAAAGGGGGAGAATCTCAATAGTATCCTAAGTGATCCTGTAGTATACTGAATGTTTCCCCATACCTGTGACAGGTGACAGTTCGTGAGGCTATAAATCAAGGTATGGATGAGGAACTGGAAAGAGATGAGAAGGTATTTCTGCTCGGGGAAGAAGTTGCCCAGTATGATGGGGCATACAAGGTAACCAAGATATGTGAAAACTATACAAAATTGAGGTGATTGCCTACACTTAAAAGTAAGGGGGTCAATGCTTAATTTTAGGTTAGTCGAGGCCTATGGAAGAAATATGGAGATAAGAGGATCATAGACACACCCATATCTGAGGTAAACTTTCCACCAGAAAGCAAACCTTTGAGGGGCACGTCTGTTAAAATGTACTTGGTTCTAAGTTTTATGGGTTTTCATGTTTATATTTTATTTTATAGATGGGCTTTGCCGGAATTGCCGTAGGTGCAGCTATGGTATGAATCTTTATGAATCTCTTCCAGAGAGATTTTTAACATGACCTTTGAAAACATTATTTGAATGTTGGAAGAGCAGAGTGGTTGCCCCTCTTCATTGCTATTTTAAGTCTTTTTAACATCTGTGTTTTTGATTTGACAGGCTGGGTTGCGGCCCATTTGTGAATTTATGACCTTCAATTTCTCTATGCAAGCTATTGACCAGGTTATAAACTCAGCTGCCAAGACCTACTACATGTCTGGGGGCCTTCAGTCTGTGCCCATAGTCTTCAGGGGGCCCAATGGTGCTTCAGCAGGTGTAGCTGCCCAACACTCACAGTGCTTTGCTGCCTGGTATGGGCACTGCCCAGGCTTAAAGGTGGTCAGCCCCTGGAATTCAGAGGATGCAAAAGGACTTATTAAATCAGCCATTCGGGATAACAATCCAGGTCAGCAGATTGAAACTTGGGTCTCTTCTGAACATTAAAAAACTAAAATGAAATCTTTGCATGGAAGACACCAATAAAGGCTTCTAGTTAGGCTTAGACATATCATATAAAATGCTAATGACTTAGAGATATAGTAAAGATAGTAAAAGATATTGTTTTTCTTATTTCTGACTACATGGGGGCCAGTTAAGTAAGGGAGACTTTACTGCATACCTCTAACACTGATGTAACCTCCATAGATAAAATTAGGATTTGACCAGACTACAAATGTCAGTACCTAAACCATCCTCAAGGGTGCTAGACATGATACACACAAGGCTTCCTAATCAGCACAGTGAAACTTTTCACAAAATGAATGACAGTGATACACTTCCTCCTGGGAGCATGCCCACACCTTTCTTCCAAGGTGAGCATCTCCTAAACTCTAAGGGCTTGTCCTCACAAGACTTGCAACCAAGAGTGCAATGGGCAGTGGCAGCTCCCTGATCCTGTCTCCAAGGCCCCTTTTCTCTGATTTTCCAGTGAGCCAAAGCAGCCCTGCCTAGGCTCTCTCCTGTTGTGTCTCTTCTATCCTAAGCCCTTCCATGTTTCACTGTTCCTAGATTTATACTGTCAGGGGGAAAAAAAAATGGTAGTGTTGTGTACATTTTTAGTCACTTGTGACTTTTGTTTAAATATTTGTATTTGGCAGTGGTGATGCTAGAAAATGAATTGATGTATGGAGTTCCTTTTGAATTTCCCCAAGAAGCTCAGTCAAAAGATTTTCTGATTCCTATTGGAAAAGCCAAAATAGAAAGGCAAGGTAAGAGAACTTAGTATACATTTAAACATTATTTGTAATGAAGTCCCTCTATTTGTGTTACTCAAATTCCGCCTAGACTGTGTTGCCCTTTACTTTGACAGGGGAAACAGGATGAGAACAAGTTAAGAATGTGTCATGCCCTAATTGCTCATACACTTGTACTCTTCTAAATCCTTATCCAGTAGATTTGTATTTCATTTCTAGGAAGGTTGCCACATTCTTCATATCACTGCAGTGAAGCTCAGTTGAATATTGTCCAAACGAACTTAGTTTCAACCTGACCTCTGATCTGTGGCCACTTTGTTTCAGGGACACACATAACTGTAGTTGCCCATTCAAGACCCGTGGGCCACTGCTTAGAAGCTGCAACAGTGTTATCTAAAGAGGGAATTGAATGTGAGGTGAGTGGACATTCAATTCTTAAAAAATCAGAAAGGTTTCTTTTACATTTAAGACCCAGAAATACTTTGAGTTCTATAACAAGATGTAAAATCGTGCTTTGTCACTCAGTTCTGCTGCTGCTTAACGCTGGGAATCTGTCTGCGTTCCGAGTCGTTTTTTACCATCTAGGTTCTGGATCTTTTAGAATAGTACCACTTTTTCAAGTTAAAAATCCAATCTTGGAGATGGAGTTTGGGAGAAGGGGAAACTTAAAAGTGAGTCTAACCGTTTCATATCCAGGACCTGCCACTTGGCAAGTTATGTACACTAAACCTCAAAAGACATGGATTGACAGACAGGAGCTTAGGCAGAACAGCTGAGGGAGAGTTGGGTGAAGAGGGCAGAAACTAGGGATAGTAAGTTTTCTATCTCATCAGGATGGTTGTGAGAATTACACTTAGAGTAGTGCCTGGTACACAGTAAACAGTCAAATGTTAGTTATTAATTATTTTGATGAGAAGGAAGTTAAAGCCAAGGGATGATAAGTGAATTCTGTAAGTTAACAAGAGCTACTTATAGTAGAGATAAAGATTTTTGTTTTAATTAGATTTTCCTAGACACAAAGACTAATAGGAAACATACAAACCAAGAAAGTGATGTTATGGGAATAAAACTGTATTTATGATGTAGTGACTCTGTAAAGCTTACCTATTACATTATTTGTTCAGGTGATAAATTTGCGAACCATCAGACCAATGGATATTGAAACAATAGAGGCCAGTGTCATGAAGACCAATCATCTTGTTACAGTGGAAGGAGGCTGGCCACAGTTTGGAGTAGGAGCTGAAATTTGTGCCAGGATCATGGAAGGTATTTCAGAGAAACTGGTTTTGGAATAGTCAGGCTGTATTAAATAAACAGGGTGTACCTGGATACTGGATAAAGAGATTAAAAGCTGGGAGAGGCCAAATGGCTTCAATTCTGAATCTGTGAGCTTGGCGTTTCCTTTCCTTTGGGTAAATGTTTTAAAAAAGCAAAACCATAAATATATAAATGAATGAATGCATGCATGCATGCATGCAAAACCAGAAACAGTCCCCAGTAATTAGGATTCCTTTAGATTTTCATCTTCAAAACAGCCACACCGTTTGTGCCAGGATGTTGGGTGTTCAGCTGGCTTTTTTTGCCCCTCTCTCAGGTAAGCTTCCTTCTCTCCTAGGCCCTGCATTCAATTTCCTCGATGCTCCTGCAGTTCGTGTCACCGGTGCTGATGTCCCGATGCCTTATGCAAAGATTCTAGAAGACAACTCTGTACCTCAGGTTAAAGACATCATATTTGCAATAAAGAAAACATTGAATGTCTAATTTGGACTTGAGTATCAAGTCATTGGGATTTATTTAAAATACTTGCTGACACTACCTGGACTGAACTGTAAGACCTTATGATTCATAAATGTTTTTGTACTGGGAAAAAGTTTAAATGTGCTTGTATGTGGAAAAACTCCATTCTTACTGCCCTAGACTCCATGCCTATTTTTCGTCTGTTACAGTTGCCATTTCTTTAAATAAGACCAGTGTAAAATTTTACCCTCTCCCTGGAAGGACACAGTATGAATGTGGCAGAGTCCTGATGAAAGATTTATCCAGAAAAAGACAACTTGTATGTAAAAATAAAAGCATATATTCTACATTTCCTGTTAGATTGTTTTGATAAGGAATAAAGGAATTCCTAACTATGACTAATTGTATTTTTATATTCTTGAAAATAAATGTGGGGTGGAAGTCTTAAAATCGTATTAAGAGATTAGTGTCATCAGGAACCAATTGTTAATGATCCAAGACTACATCACGCTGACAACGGGAACTTGTCCACAGACTCTTCAAATGCCTAATTCTAAAACAGTTCCCTTCAAAATTAAAGCAAAATTCATGTCAGGTGTTTTCCTATTGCCAGAAAACAGACCTCCTGTCATTGCCCTCTTCAGAAGTTGAGATAGAAAAGGTGGGTTTGTATTAGTTACAGAACCATACAAGTGGTGCAAAGCAGGACTGTCATGTTGGCTCTTATTAAGAGGGGAAATAGGGCATGAAAGAGAGAGTGGATAGATGGGGAAAAAACTTTAGGAATACTGTGTGGGTCTGGTCTTTGTTTACAAATGTTAATACAAAAAGTTCCCATTTGAAATATTTAGCCAAGCCACTGACAATCTATTTTCTTGACATGGTTTATTTTAATAAAAAATACAGCTGAACATATTTATCACAGATTACATGAAACTAGAGACAAGGACATTTTCTCTGCATAGTAACCAACACTGACGTGTATATCTGAATTTTTAAATGGATTACTTATAATCCTTTAAAGTGCAATTTATTTAAGGATTTAAGCAAATCATAGGATAAGGGATCTTTCTAATAAATGAGTAACATTTAAAGATGATGTATTTGAATAAATCTTTCAAAAATCAGAATTCTATAAATGCCAAACTCGCTTGTGTTGTAACAATAATTCCCCACAAACCACAAACTTAATTGCTGAGGAGTAATAAGATCCTGTAATTGGCAAGAGCATTTTCTGATGTTAACATTTTTTTGTTCAATACATTCTAACTATCAGGAACTATAGGAGTCCAGAGTAGTTGCTTTAGCAGCCCTGAGTTCTATAACCACAACAGTATTCTATGAGAGGAAAATGAAGAACTCAGTTGCTTCTCTGACTCAGCGATGTAACTATGCTTTGGGCTACAGTGTTAATGTCTAAGATGAAATTAAGGTAGCAAAAATGTAAGTTAGAATCTAAGAAATAACCAGAAAGTGCCTTAGAGAAATAAACTAGGAGAGGAATGTTTCTAGTTGTCTGATGGGATAGGAAGGGTTGCAACACAGGCCATTCGCTGCTGTGACTGTATATTGTCATTGTTTTTGTCCATTTCCTTCAACTGGTAGAAATATTTGATTCTGATATGCTGCTTCCTCCAAAAGATGCCCATTAGGGGATGAATGACTCCTTTAAAATAGTAATAAAGCAGCAAACTATTCCTTCAGGCAGCAATGCCAGCCTGATTTTAATCTACTTGAAGAATATTTCCCTCCTGAAAAGCCCTTTACATGAGCATCTGCAAAATAGTATGTATCTCTACTGGCTCAGCAATTAACTCATACAGGAGAGTCCTTCAGTGGTTGGAGGTGGGCAGGAAAATAGAAAACAAAAAAAAAAAAAACTCCCTCCAAGTGTAAACATGAAGCTTTAGCCAATCTTAGGAGCACTATGATCACAGGTTTCAGCTTTCCTCAAAGTTCCTTTTTGGAAATTCTGGATGGAGCTGAGTAAGGCCCCCCGGCTCACGCCATTCACAGCCTGAGGCTGGAGCTGTGTGGGCACCTCTGTGCTCGAAGGAGGCAAGGGAGCTGCTGGTGGTGGAGGCGGAGGTGGAGGAGGTGGAGGTAACGTGGAAATCCCTGTGGAGGAAAAGGGACAGTCAGCATCACCTCCAAACAGCCGGTATACATGCTACTGCTCAGTCCTGGGCAGGGCAGACTGGTGAGGCTGCAAGTGCTTTCCCCCAGAGGTACCAAGAGGTCCCGTACTGTATGATTTTAACATACTGAACAAGAAACCTACCTAGAAGCATCAAAGGGGAATTTAAAAAGTTGCCACTTCTCCCAAATAACAGTCACGTGAGAAAAGACTGAACAAATATCACAGATTACATGAACTATACATAGTGATGTTCTCTCAGCATAGACGAATGAGGCTTTAACTCCATTTCCAAATTTTAGTAATGGTTCCTTAAAGGAAAGTTCTATCAGCTACTTCAGCCAAGTCCCAGACAGCTCCACCTACTCCTGAGCTAGCAATTAAAGACAGACATCTGTATGCAGAGTTGGGCTACCTGAATATCAATAAAGGATGAACAGTTCTTAGCTGCTCCAACACACACACACATATTTGAAGGATGTGATTTAATATAAAATGACAAATCACTCAGTATGTTTGGCAAGGAACCAGTGTCTGCCAGGTTATGAGTTCCCCAGGAGCATCTGTCTCAAATAATCATTTTCTATTAGGATGCATTAAAGAAATATAAAAAGCTAATAGTTCTTGCATTGCAAAGTAAGGGGCAATGGGCTTTCTCTCCCCAGCAATGGTATGCTCAGGGAGGAGTTTTCCTCAAGCACCCCTCTTTCCACTGTGGCCCAATTCAGGAACAGTGTCATTTGCACTAATGCTACATCTTTGCTGAAGCATCTGGAGAGACTGGAATGCTGAGCTCTACCCTAGTGTGCAAAGAGAAGGGAACTAGACAGGTGTCTACAACTTCCCTTAGCTTCCAGGCACACAGACATTTGGCACTTGAATTTTATAGTTCTGAATTGATGAATGAATTGTTCTCCCATGACAAAAAACACACTGAACACAGAAAAAGCCCTGCCTTAAGGAAACTGCCTGTGTCAGAGTTAGTTGAGCCATCTCCCATGAACCTTGCAGCTCTTGGTGACTCCACCCACCTAGCCTTACACTCTACCCCTTCCTAGGGCTACACAAGGGAAACATTCCTTTAGACAAACTGCTACCGAGCTCTGGTGTCAACAGGTAAACATGCCAATCACCCCTTGCGTTTATTTGGATGAACAGTTCAGGATCTTCAATAAAATACTTAGGTAAGTGCATGACAGACAATGGTTAAAATCATGTGTTTTGCTGAAAACCACTTACCTTTCTTTACATCTTTACCCAAACCTAAGGCAGCTGAAATTAAAGAATGACACAGATATGCACACTCATGCTCTGCAATCTTGGAATTCTCAAATGACGATACCTCAATACAGATAAACATGAAACAGACAAATGAACAAAGTGTAATTTCTATTGGTTCCATATAGTAATAGCTAACGAATGAAGTTCGATTATATTCTATGCCAAGGTGGAGTGTGGAAAAATGTCCCTGGTTTTATGTCACAGGGTTACAAAGATAAAAAGGACTTTAAACCAGAATGGGTGTTGAGGTGAGAAGAGGAGGGTATGTGATACACGCATTCCTCTGAAGGAGGTTTTCAGACAGTGACCAGCTGAAATACTAGGGGGAGGAGAGACTGCCTCTGAAGGTTCCTGGAAGTCAACTGCAGCACAGGGAGCCTGAAGGAGTGAGCAGGCACCAATATCCCCTCTCAATCCCCCCCCGCCCCCAACCCCGGCCTCCATCCAATGACGGGGAAAAGGGCAGCAGAAACTGGACTTGACATTCAGGGCCCAACATGTACAGCTGAGCATCAGCTTTTCTGTCTTCCAGCTTTGTGCTCTGAGCCCGGCAGAAGAGTCCCTGTGGTTACAGATGAGGAGTCAGGCTGTGGGCTGCCACAGCACTTGTGTCCTCAAGACAAGGAACTGGCCATCCAGAGACAGGTACACCTCCAGCCCAGAATTCTGGGAGGCTAGAAAGGGGCCTCGAGGGCTGAATTTGAATATAGGCTGCCATCTTGAACAAAACTGTTCAGCCTTCACACGGGACCAACCCTTGACTTTGGCCTCATTACCGGGAGCTCGAAATTAGAATTGCAAATTTACTATAGCAGCATTTGAGAATTGGGAGTGGTGTTCAGAAAATGGATCGTCATTTTCCAAGTAAAGGCTGAGATTGTTACCACTTTCAATGAAACTCTTTGAATATGTAGGTAGTATAAATAAATGCACTGTCCCAAGTGGCACAGGGTAACCTGTGTCTGTAAAGCGCATAGAATGGTGAGGGTTGTATGAAAGGAGAAGCTGTCATCTAGGGGCACAGAGCAAGGTCACAAGGTCACCCTGATGTCCGTTCATAGAGAGCCAGACCAATCCCAAAGGGCCTGGTGTTCCAGGAGGTCCACTTTTCCTCACTGGGCCTGCGACAACTAGGGCACATCTTGATGTATATGATTAGGACAAGGGAACTCAACTCACTGGCTCAGAGCACCCTGGGAGGGGAGAGGAGGACCAGGAGTCAAAAGGTCAACAGTGGAGGAGGCAAGAACACAGACTTCAGGACTCACAGACTCTGATGGTAGGTCCATCAAATTTCTTTTTCTTTTTCTTTTTTGTCTTTTCTATGGTTTACAAGCTTCCTTTGAAGGTGCATTGGGGCTTCAGCTACAACAAACTGGTAACAATGCAGGGAATGGAGGAATGGTAACAAGTGCCAAACTCAGAGTCGGCTCTTTGGCCTGTGACAAACCTGAGAACAAATACTGGATGCTTGAGTCCCCCCATTCCTCAAATGTGAATTAATTCCTCCGCAACAAGAGGCTTCTGATCACCATTAGGCCCAGGCCACAGACAAAACTAGATAGTTTCTGTTAGACTGATTACTAACTGAATTCACACAGCTTTGAAAAATAGTGTTCTGCAACAACCCAGGATGAGGGATGCTCCAAAACAGCTTATCTACAATTATAACCTCATCAGTCCTAATATCTCTCTTCTCACTTTCTCTTAGACAAAAACCCCAAGAGCCAACTATTCTACTCTTCCCAAAATCCCATCCACCAAACCAAATGGAAACATGGCAATCCAGTCAAGGCCCCGGAACAGGTCATCAACCGCTGCAACAAGAGCAACGGTTACATCTAGGGAGGAGAAACATCCTCACCAGCCTTGCGGAAAGGATGTCTCAGGGTCCCCTCTCCTTGGGCCAGTTTAACAATCCACAGATGTCTGTAGGTCTGAGGTCCTTTGTGGTCCACACAGAGAGGTGGGGAGGCCACAGGGCCACCAGACGAACAGACCTCTGGAGAGCAGTGACCCCTGGAAGCAGGCAGCACCCAGCCCTTGAACACTGCGCTCAGCTGTTGCTTCAGACAGATGAGGAGGCTGCACTCATGCCCCAATTCAGGAATTATTAAGGATGCTTAAAAAAGAACTTTTTCCCTGTCATTAGTCATAAAAGCCAGTGAGTTGAGGAACTAACATTTATGCTGCAACAGGACTCTGAAAGCCTAGTTTCCAAAGTTAAAATACACCAAAATGCCATACAGTTGATTTTTAGGTTTTAGAGCTGTATTTTAAAACTAAAATCAGATTGAAAATGAAGATTTGAAGGTCATGATGAAAATGAAATGAATGTAAATGAAGTCACTTCGGTGCTTTTTAAAGATGCTGTATTTCATTTAAAAGTTCAGATAAGGAAATCATGTCAAATCTGCTTTCCCATTTGTTCATCACTTCAGTGACTAGATGTGCTAGGTCCCATTTCACATTCAGAAACAGAGCATCTTTAAAGTGAGAGAAATCAGTATAGCTTACTTTACCGAAAATTCACGTTCAAAACGGCACATGCTCTACTGAAAACAGCAAAGAGAAAGAGAGAGAGGACACAAGTCATTATTTGAATTTTAGTGTCATTTAATCAAATAGTAAGAGACAGTAAAATATTAGTCTGAATCACATGCTGATTATTCTCACAGCCAAACTGGAGATACTTAAGCACGAAATGTACTGGTTTGTAAACACAACTGTGGCCCTTTTAGAACATAGCACACACACTAATCTGGTACTAATCTCGTTTTCTTCAAGTTATTATTATTTTTTTCTTTTTCTGAGCCAGTTAGATGCCATTTTTACTTATTTACAAGAACAACATTCACTTGAAGACCCAAGAAGGTTTTACCTCCCCTGAAAAGTAGAATGGGTACTAGGATTACTTAGTTCTACCTCTAAATAGGACAGTTTATCAACAGAGGGGAAATATTAGAACTCATCACTTTTTTCCAAGCAAGTCTTCTATAGTCTAAAACAGAGACATGTTTTTTCAAAGTTAGGACCAAGAGCCCAGGGCAGGTCTAAGGTGAAGCTCCTGGCCAGGAGCCTGTGTGGGTCCCCTCCTCTGAAGACTGCTGGTGCGAGAAGCTGAACTGGGCAGTGAATGGCATTACCTTACTTGAGGCTATAAAACCATAAAAAAAAAAAAAAAAAGGCAAACGTTTTTCCTGTCCAGACATTCCAGGTGCAATGTGAAGTACACTTTCCCTGACAGTGAATCCCAGAGTCCCTCCTGAACCAATCTGCCCACAGCCCAGAGGAAGTGAGGCCCATGTGTGGCGGGTCACATGGTGCAGCCAGGAGGCTGCTGGGGACACTGCCCCGTCCCACCCCACACCCACACCAGCTGAGGGCTCTGGGGAGTAGCCCATACATTTGGGCTTGGAACGGGGGCGGGGAGGGTTGTGAGAGGGCAGGAGGGCAGAAATAGCACACTGTTCAGCGAAGCACCACAGGGCACACCTGTTCATCCCAAAGATGGTGACTGCTTTGTGTCTGTATAGGTTTTGATAAACATTCTTATAGCTAGAGACATTGATTTTGAGCCTAGAGTGGGTTTCAGACTTTGCTTTGGTACACAAATTCTGGAAACTCCAACATTCTAAATAATGTCAACTATGTTTTGTGCCTCGTCTATTCTTAAACCTCCGTCCTGTTATTCAAGTTTTCAGTCACTCTGTGCCCATGAGGCCCTGTTTCCCCTCCTCCAGCTTCTGTCCAGATATGAAACTTCCTTCTCTCTCCAGTCATTTTTATAGTCTGGGTTTTCTACAAAATGCCAAAAACTCCCTCTCTTCAAAATTATTGCTTAAGATTACAAGCAAGAAGGCTAGAATTCTCTTGTAGGGTATTATTAGCTTATATTTGATAGTACTTTAGTGCTTATCAAGCCTTGTCAAGTATATTGTCCACCCAGTAAAAATCAGAATGTTTACAAGACAGCTTTAAAGAATGGAAATTACTTGTCCAAGGTCACAGTCGGAAAGTGGTGGAGCTACAAACCAGGCCTGGGGTTTCTGACTCTGCTTTCAGGGTTCTTTCCCTGCCAACCAAGCACAGTGTTTGCCAGCACAGGCCGTGCAGTGCACCTGAGAGAGCCTGCATGCAACAGGAATCAGTGGGGTATATGAGCAAAGACAGAGCTGGTTTAATCCAGACAGAGCTGGTTTAATCCTGGCTCTGGCATCCTCCGCTTGTGTGACCTTTGTCAAAGTCCCTTAGCCCCACTAGAGCCTCAGTTTCTTTGTCTGTAAAATGAAGCTCTGGTAGAATCCATCCTCCTTGGATAGGGAGGTATTTGTGAGGATCAAATGAAACAATGACAATACATCACTTAGTGTTCAAAATAAGTGCTCAAATTATGTTAAATATGATTATTAAAAACAATAGGAATCTAAGACCTCCTGTTTACTTAGCTTTCCCTAAATATGTTTTTTTGCAAAACCTGTTTTAAAAAAAATAAAAAACACAATAGCAAGGGCTGCCTGCTCCCAAAGGAAGAGTGGGAGGGAACATTTGTGTGTGTGTAAATTGGGACCTTCTAAACCACTCACTTCTATGAATTCAGAGTGTAAACACTAGTTGGTGACATTTACCATGAAATAATTTAGGGTAAAGAATTTTAGAGTTCTTGAAAGAGTGACCTTCCAGAGGCAGGAAACATAAACTTTAACAGAAAACAAAGTGCTAGGAATGTCCTCACTGAAAAAGAGTTTTCGAGAATACCGCCCCCCCCGCCCCCCCCGCCCCCCCCCCCCGCGCCGCTCCCCGCCCCGCCCGCCCCTCACCTGATGGAACCGTCAGCAGGCTGAGGGAAGTGATATTTCTCCCATCGGCTGGTAAGGACTCCAAGGAGAGGCCCCAGGGCAGGGAGGCGCACTACAGCACGGGGGCCTAGGCCTTATACAAATCCAGGGAAGGGCTCTTGAGCGGAAGACCTTCACTTACAGACATCTGCCACGTCTGCCCCATCCTAACGTAACTGAGCTTGAGGCCACCCTCAACTACCATGAATGTGTTTAAAATTGATTCTTTCAGGAAGAAAGGTGATGCTGAGGAAATGAACTTGCCTATGTTGGTCTACTGCTGAGCACACTGCCAAAGGCAGGGACCAGAGAGTATGCTTGATCAGAAGGAACTGTGAGAGAGTCTCCTCTAACTCCCACCCTTTCGCCTTTTACAGAGGACATGGACAGTGACTCATTCAAGGTCTCCCGGTAACTCAGTGTGCCGAGGACTTACTGTGGGCAGGAACTGTTCTAACCTCATACTCAGTGGATCCTCTTAATAACCTGGCTAGGCAAACACTGTTGTTATCCTCATTTACAAATAGGAAACCTGAAACACAGGGAGGTTTATTGTCTTGTCCAAGTTCCCAGAATTAGCAAGTGGTGCCTCTCAAGTTTCGGTTCCCTGGCTCAAGGTGTAATTCCCAAGAGCTCCCAGATTGAGATGCATTTGGGATGTCACCTTTAGAGGGGATTCTTTTTTAATACTAAACCTTGAAAATCAAGAATTTTTCTTCATTTCTTGAGAAAGTTACATTTCATCATAAAACTGAAAGACACTGTCTTTGATTTGGTGCTCAGATAGACCATAAACGTGGCCTAGAAGTTAAGACATACATTAGAGTAAATGTGATTTCAACAGCAAGATGGGCAGCATGCAGAGAGGCAGCGAGAAAGATAAGCCCAATGAGACGCCTGGCCTCTAGTCCTGGGAGGAAGGAGCCATCTAAGGAGGGGCCGATGAGCTAGAAGTGGCAGCCCCTGGCCCGCGTCTGCTCTCACCGAGCAGAGGCCTTGAGAGGCAGAGCAGGGACAAGCAAATCCACTCACAGGAGGTACCGAGCACCTCCCATGGTGCAGCAGCAAGAGGGCTACAACCTGACACCTTGCACAGAACAGAAGCTTGAGACGTTGCTTGTTGGTGGACTAGTTTTTCAGGAGCAATCTCTATTTACGAAGGGGAACTATGGGGAGAAAAAAATTACCGTGGTTGGACCCCAAAAAAAGCATTTGCTTGAATTGTGTCTATCATTTTGGCGCTTCCAATGGGCTCTGGAAATGTGACTCCATGCCAGCTGAGGCCTCGTCTGTCTGTTCATCTCTGTAACCCAGGGCCAAGTGCAGTGCCTGGCACACTGCAGGCTCCAATAAATGCATCCTGAGTAACTGAATGAATAAACTCACTGTGGGTGCCCCATATAGGGCCTCAAATGGTAGGTTGACAGGCAAGTGCCACTTACCATTTTTATGATATGCATTATGATAAATGCCCAGCAGAGGTCAGAGTAGATTCTTTGGGGGATGAGTTGATCATTTCAAGAAAACATTAAAGGAGATAAAGGAAAGAAGGAGCCAATATTTGCTGGGAACGTCTCATCTCTGCCAGGTATTGTACTTGAGGCCTCACATGTTTTCCCTCTGAATGCTCATGACTCTCCCTTAAGACAGATAGTATCAAGTTCAGAGCCATGCCCCCAACTGCTCCCACTCACTTCAGTTTTTCCAACATGATTCTAATTACAGGATTTCTCTTTTCCTTCTCCTCTCATTCTAAAAGTCACCTCATCTAACACAAACCTGCTATGTATGAGATAGCTCCCATTCAAATCACAGATAAATTAGAGGATTAACAACAACAAAGGAATCCAAATAGCCTGTGAATTCCTCAGGGCATTTAAAAATCAGAACTGGCATTAACTTCCCAGGACCACATAAAATGCATGGGGTCGGTGCTCTGTGCTACTAAACAGACACCTCACTTGTTAAAGGGGGTCTATGAAGTCTCACTATTAGTTCTCTCTAATTTTAACAGGTCTAAGTGGTGTGAAATTAATATCCTGTCTACTAGAAAACTACTCAATGTGATCTGGGCAGTAGATCTCCAGAAATTTCTCATCAGCCTATACAGGTGACCTCTACAAAAGACAAAGAAGTCTATTTTCTGTCTTGATCAATATTTGGGAGCTTTCTTGTAAAAATCTGCTGACAACGTCAGACAGGGAAAAGAGTATCATCCCCATGAGCCAGGTGCTTTGCTACTCAAAATAGGTGCTGACCCCCGCATGCTCTGCAGCGAGCCACCAGTGGCCATCCTCAGCCAGCAAGGAGACACCCACCAGCCAGAAATAAGTTGTTCAAATTAGTCCCCTTACATTTGCTTGTTGGTTTTTTTGTTTTGTTTTGTTTTAAAGGAAGGTCGGTTAGACGCATCTGAGAGATGTCAGGCGATGATATACTTGATAGCTCCTGGGTGCTTCCTTAAACCTTAATGCATGTGATATTGTCAACTCATACATCAACCCCAGCCAATGACTCTCCTTCAGACAGCTGTAACAACTCCCAAGCACAGCGACCAGCTCTGAGTGGCAGAACCAGCTGCTCTGACATCTAGAACATCTGGCTCATTTAAGAACAAAGGAGATACGGTACTCCAGTGTTTTTATGGGACTTACAAAATGGTTAGGAGATATTAGTTCAAAAATGAAAGGAGGAAAGATAGCATCATGAGGCCACACCACAGAATTAGGTATTATTTTATAACTATTCCCCAAGGTAAATTTTTTCTACATTTTTTAAACAGAACTTGTAGTATCTGATTTAATTCACAAAGGTGAAACAAAGGCTAGTCACAGAAGAATATTCAGATGATTCAAATGCATTGCAGAGCAGAACAGAGCACAAAGCTATCAGGAAATCAGAAACTCGGGGGAGAGTTCACTCCCACACCTACGCATCTCACCAGTTTTGCTCTGTGATAAACCCAGCATTACAATGCGGTTCCCTGAGGAGACAGTTTGGGCAGGACAGGGTCCCTGCGCAGCAGTGCGATTGCTGTGTTCACCAGAGCATGCATCCAGACAAGCTCTGACCTGAGGAGCCCTGCATGGGGTTTTTTGGCAGAGAGAACAAGCCAAGGGTAGAGGGTAGTTAGTGACCCTGAAACCAACCATTCCATTCCCGTGGAACCCAAGTTTGTAAATCTTGGGCCAAGGTCAGAAGAGAAAGCCCTGCTCCTCCTCCTGCTGGTGGAGAGCCAGAGGAGGCAGGCTGCTTCGCCCTCATCACTCACCTGCTGTAGAGGGTGGAGTTGGCGATGACGGGGATGTGAGAGGTGAGCTGGCCCCAGATCCTGCTAAGAGAAAACACAGATACAATCCTGGGGACCAAAGGAAAGATCTAGAATTTGGCCCAAGCTGGGTACCACCACTGGCTTAGTGTGCGGGCCTTGTGGTAAAAGTTGAGGAGGAACAGAGAGTTCAGGGATTGGAACAATGACCACAGGACAGGGTTAGGGTGAGGGTTTGTCTGCTCCCCACAGCTGACTTGAAACAAACTTTGAGAAATCGACTTATGCAATTGGCTGTAGTATCTCTTCCTAACATAACCATGGTCCTCGGGTGATGAATGACAAATGACAGTGCCACAGCAGTTCAGGGGACAGAGAGGAGCCGAGCAGTCCAAAGGAAGTGAGAATTCCCTACACCATCTACCTAGCAATGCTCTATGTAGAAGCTCCATTTTATCAGCAGGTACATTTAATAAGATAGGGCGAACCTATTCAGTTTGTGGATTTCCTGGACCTCTTCTTACCCAAAATTCAGTAAATACCCTTATTTACATTAAAAGAATGTACATATTCCCATATGTTGCATGCATTTTTCTGAACCTAGTCATCTTGTTATATGTCAAATATTTCTAAGTTCTCCGCCTCTCCCCAGTCTCAGAAATCCCCAGAATATATCTTGTTGGCCTAATATGGAAGTAGCCCAATGAGCAGACAGAGGTTCCTACATAAGTCCCCTCCCCTACACGGAAGTCCTATTGAGGGGTTAACCACAGCTCCAGGGAGGGGTGTGATCATGCCCCTGAGAAACCACTGTCTGTTCTGGGGAAGCCTCCAACCATCCCCTCACCCGCTACCCACAGGCCATGTTGACGTGGCAGGGACACAGGCATGAGAAATGCCTAATTCAACCACACCACCCTCCAGGTGGGTACCTTTCCACTGCTCGCAATATTATCTCACTTCCTTGTAAATATAAGAGGCATTTTACTGGTAAAGGAGGTAAAACTCAACCCCGTCCTGTTTTTATACTGCTTGGACAGTGCTAACATAGATTTTAATGGGGAGAAGATTGAACTTGTGATTCCAGTGGAACCTGGAGATGCTCAACTGCTACTTTGTTCTCCTAAACTCTGTGAGGGCACGGTGGTGTCCTGGAGTCCTCAGGATCTCATCTGGCTGCATCTGGCACAGAGCCATGCAGGTGGGCAGTTGCCCCAGGAAGGTGGAAAACACAGAGTCAGGCTTTCTCTGCTTTATAAAGAATTAGCTGCTGGACAGAATGACTGCTAGTCAGATATGCTGAACGGAGACATGAGTCTCAGCCTATTGACAATGACTGGCTCTGTCCATCCCATCAACCACAGAAAAAATAGGCGTCCAACATCGTCCAGCTCTCTCCTCTCTCCACCTCCACATTCATGGAGCCTGTTTTGGTCCTCATTGGGACCTCCAGGGCCTGGTCTCTACGCCTTCTCTTCCCTTCTAGCCCTGCCTGAGCACTTCTCTGGCCTAGGCTCTGCAGGCAGCGGTGTCAGCAGGATTCTCACCCTCTTTGTGGAGTCCACAGTCTCCCAACTCATCCAGCTCCCAGCTCTGCCCACACCATCTGCATCCTCTGGCTAGTCTGCCTGCGTGCCACTCCCTGCGTGCCACTCCCTGTTTCTCCTGGTGCCCCCAGCAGATGTCCTCCTCCCTGACTTCACTGAGAAGACCTGAGAAGACTTGACTGTGAATAGCCTCAACTTTCGCCCTTCCTTCTGCTTTTAAATGCTTCTAACTCTTCACCTGCCCTCAGGGCTCCTGCCTCCAGGGAGAGATAGATGGGTTTCCTCAAAGGCTGAGACTGAAGGATGGGCTCTGGATGCTGAGCCCTTGGCCTTCTCTCTAGGCCCTTCATCCTATCATTCTCTTTCGTATCTTCAGCTTCTCCCTCTCTGTGAGGTCCTTTTCCTGCCTAAAAGTATGTGCAGCTCCAGAAAAAACCAGAGAAAACCTCCTCTTCCCTTGGCCTTCCAGGGCTAAGCCAAAGCCTCCTGGGTTAGAACGAACCTTCATCTCCTCTATGTGGAACTCTACTTCACAGATTCATAAGGCAGAAGAACTAGAAGGTCTCAAGGGATCATTCAATCTGGCCCTAATTTCCAAAGATGAGAACATTAAGGCCCAAAGTCAGCTGAGTGAGGGGCTGCCGGGATTGGCAGTGATGACTGTCAACTCAGGACAGTGCTCTCTGTACCGCCCTGGACCTTCTGAAATGATGCCTTTTGCCATCCCCACATACTATTGAGCACATTCTCCTACCACATGGTGACTAGAGCAGAGGACAGGATGTGCGGTCACTTCTGTTCATGCAGCCTCCACTGAAAAACAGCATGCCTTGAATTTTAAGCCAGGTTGGTTTTTGTTCTATGGATAATGCTCATCTTTGGTTGATTGAGTCCTGGCATTAGTGAAGGGGCTGGCTTACCCAATAACCTCGGAGGTCCCTTCCAGCACCTGAGCCCTATGAGCCATGAATGCTGTCGTAATCCTTCATTGGAGACAGAATTCTTTGTTTTCTACATTTATTACCACACTCTGGATACCAGAACCCAAGACCTCTTGACCAAATACAGCCTGCTGGTCCTGGTCTTCAGATGCCGGGCTCCACTACAGTCTATGACCAGTTACCTGAATTATAGGAGTTGTTATATTTTGCTGGATGTTCCTCATTATTTTCAACAGCAGATCGTTTTGACTTCTTTCAAAATAAAAAGAGAGAGGGGGAAAAGGAAGGAGTAAATACACTGATGCTGAGAGTTAGAATAAAAATATTTTCTAGGCATGCAGTTAAACTATCCACACACAGGTCATATTTGGCTTCATAACTTAATACAGTGAAGGAGTCACAAACCAAAACCAAAGGGGAAAATAAAACCAACCATGCTGACTGTTATCCGAGGCCAATCACTCCCCCAGTTCCATCAGGCCACAATCAGCCCAGCAAGCCAGGAAACTATACGGTCCATTTGTTTCCTGGTATTATGTAGCTCCTTTTTAAAAGCTGCAAACCAGTCATCTGCAAATAGTTTTAGCTCTCAAGGAGACATAGCACAAAATCTGTCATTAACTAAATGTGCACCATTAACTGAGAACTCTCTTTACGTGGAACCTAGAACTTTCCTTCACACACAGAGAATTCAGATAGACAGCAGGTTTACCTTTCGAGCTAAAATCTTTCTCTTTTTTCTTTCTTCTTCAGATCCATGGTGAGACTGAGCTCTTGTCAGTCTTCGATGCTGGTGAATCTGTAAGAGAACACAGGTCACCACAAATGTGAGCATATCCTACACTAACGAAAATCTAACGTGTTTTGCCAAATCAAATTATTTGGATGTAAAATATTTCCCTGCTCAGCCTGTGTGGCTCCAGGGTCAGGTTTGAATGTCTGGGAGACAAGTATGCCCAAGGGTGAAGGCCCTTCTTGCTTCCCTCAGTTCCTTCCTGCCTCTTTCTCTTACAGAAGACGAATGTGGTCCCCAGCACCTTTGGAGCATGAACCCTGTGTTCCCACCATTACCCAGCCTGCCCCAGTCATAGAAGATCACCACCATTTATGGACCCGTTTGTTTCCCCAACAGGCTGAGCTCCTTAAGAGAAGGGCAGTGAAGGTGTCAGCTGCCTCACAGCATTGAGCCTAGAGCCTGGTTCAGAGCAAGTATGCAAGAAATGTTTGTGGAATGAACAATCAGTTAAAAGTAAATCACCGTGAATTCCAGGCAGAGAATGGCAGCACTGAAAGATCAAAGGGCAAGGAGGAACTATGAGCAATTTACCTGTTTCTGTTCTTCAGTTAGTCTCTTTTCTATACATTCTTTGGCAATTCTCAATGCTTCTTTTAACTTTGTGGGGATCTGAAAGAGGAGAAAGTACATAGTCTATTGAGGAAAACGGCTGGAGATTCTCCCAAAACCTGGTTTTAATGAAGGAGCAATTAGTTATCAAGAAGGAGGGCACCTGGAATGAAATTGGTTACAAGCTGCCTACTTGAATCCTATCCTGGCCACTTTTGGTATCCCCAATGCATGCAGCTCATTAGCATTTCTTATCAATAAATATGTAAAATAAACACAAAAACAGACATGATGTATGTTTCAAGCATTTCCACTAGTTCTCAAGGGACCCCGAATTACCAAAACAATCTTGGAAACAAAGACAAAAATTTAAGGCCTCACATTTCCTGGTTTCACAACATATTACAAAGCTACAGTAGCCAAAACAGTGTGAAACTGGCATAAAGAAAGACATATAGGGTCCTGACTGGTGTGGCTCAGTTGGCTGGGCATTGTCCCACAAAGCAAAATGTCACTGGTTTGATTCTCAGTTCGGGCACATGCCTGGGTTACGGGTTTGGTTCCCCAACAGGGGGCATATAAGAGTCAACCAAGTGATGTTTCTCTCTCACATGGATGTTTCTTTCCCTCTCTTTCTCCCTCTCTTCCCTTCTCTCTAAAAATCAATCAATAAAAATTTTTTAAAAAAGAAAGGCATATAGACCAATGGAACAGAATAGAGAGCCTAGAAATAAACCCTCATGTGTATGTTCAAATGATCTTTGACAAGGCTGCCAAAAGAACACAATGGGGGAAATATGGTTTCTTCACAAAATGATGCTGGGAAAATTGGATATTTACATGGAAAAGAATGAATCTTACACAAAATAAACTCAAAACTGGACTGAAGACCTAAACCTAAGCCCTAAAACTATAAAACTAGAAGAAAGCACAAGGGGAAAGCTTTGCAATGTTGAATTTGGCAGTGATTTCTTAGACTGGACACCAAAAGCACAGCAATAAAAGCTATAATAGACAAATGGGACCATATCACACTTAAAAGTTCTGCATATCAAAGGAAGTCATGAACAGAGTGAAGAGACAACCTATGGAATGAGAGAAAATGATTGGAAATCATATATCTATTAATAAATTAATATCCAGAATATATAAAGAGCTCCTACAACTCAACAACAAAAACATAAGTAACCAAATTTTAAAAATGGACTTGTCACAGAAAGATGGATTATACCACAATAAAACTGAAAAAAAAAAAGAACAGAAAATCAAAGAAAAAAAATGGGCAAAGGACCTGAATAGATCTCTCTCCCAAGAAGATATACATGGCCAACAAGCATATGAAAAGATGATCAACGTCTCTTATCATTAGAGGAATGCAAATCAAAACCACAATGAGATGTCACCTCATACACATAAGAACGGTCACTATTGATAAAACAGAAAATAACAAGTGTTGGTGAGGATGTAGAAAAACAGGAACATTGGTGCACTGATTGTAGAAATAGAAAATGGTACAGCTACTATGGAAAATAGTATGGAAGTCCCTCTAAAAAAAGAATTAGCATATGATTCAGCAACTTTTAGGTATATATCCAAAAGGACTGAAAGCAGGATCGAAACACACCTCATCTTCACTGCAGCATTATTCACAATAGCCAAGAGATGAGTCGTCCATCAACAAATAAATGGATTAACAGAATGTGGTGTATACACACAAGAGAATGTTACTCAGCCTTAAAAAAAGGAAATCCTGTCACATGCTACAACATGGGTAAAACTTAAGGACATTTATATTGAATGAAATAATCCAGTCACAAGAGGACAAATACTGTATGATTCCACTTTATGAGATATCTAGAGTTGTCAAAATTATAGAAGCAGACAGTAGAACTGTGTTTGCCAAGAAATAGGCGGCTGTTGGTCAACTGGTCTAGAGGTTGAGTTTGCAAGATGAAAAAGCTCTAGAGATGTTCAATGCAACAATGTGAATATACTTAACACTACTGAACTGTACACTTAAAAATGGTTAAGAGACTAAATTTTACATTTTACCATGATTAAAAATTTAAAAACATATAAGGCTTATTGGAACACACAAATTCAAGTAATTATAATCTTTTAAAACTTCAGAGGGATTTTCTCTGCAAAATTTTTTCTGCATTTCACAAGATTACGCTTTTTCCTGCAGAAAGGTACTCTTAATAGCCTGGTATGCTCCTGAACCTTTCATTTCTTAATTTATTAGATTTTTTAATGATAATAAAAGCTCAGGCCTGGAAAACAGACACCCAGGTCCTGTGGAACTTTTTATCTCTAGTATTCTTTTAAAAATATAAACAAGTTTTGAGTAGGAAATATAGTCACATGGTTCAAAGTCAAAAGGTATAAAAGTGTACATACACAGTAAAATGTCTCCCACATAGTTCTCCTTTGTGGTGGCAACTACTGTCACCAGTTTCTTGTGCATCTTTCTAGGAAGATCATGTATACACAAGAAATTAACATTGGCTTTTAAAATCATACTGTCTTTGCTGCATGGACTTGCTTGGCTGAGGGCAAGAGTGAGGTGTGATAATAATCCTTGGGCTGGACGATCGGGGTTTGGGGAGAACACAGTTATTTACAAGGCTGAATACATTTTTCTGAGGAGATTCAGTAAAGAGATTCATTTAAATGTTATTTCCTACTTCAGATCCAAAGAAGCTGTTACTGTCAGAACTCCTCTAACTGGTAAAAAGGCAGAGAAAAGCATCTATCACCTATATAATCTGATCCCAAGTTGTTTTGGGTTTTTTCCTTTTTTCCATAAATTTAATTTCATCATAAGAGTATTACTGTTCTTTGGGAATGCAAAGAGGAGAAAGAGAATTACCCTTCATTCTACTACCTAAAACAACACTCACACTGAGCACTGAGGACCTAAACGAGGTGTTCACGTGGATTATCTCAGTTGGCCAATGGCAATAGACAGGTGTTACTCATCAGCTCCACATACTGAGTATGCAGACCCAAAGATTATGTACTTGCCAATAGATTGGTAGCTCTCAAATGGGGGTGATTTTGTCCCCAACCCTTTCTAGGGACATTGGGCAGAGTCAGAGGCATTTTTGACAGTCACAATGTGTGGGGTAGAAAGGAAGTACTATTCACACCCAGTGGGTACAGGCCAGCGATGCTGCTTAACATCCTACAATACAGAGGACAGCCACACAAAACAAAGAACTATCTGGCCAAAATGTTAAATGCTGTGGTTGACAAATCATCCTCAAATAAGTGGCTGGTGTTAAAAAAGCAAAGTAAGGCATCAACCTGGTGTTTTGGGGTTTCAAAGCCCCTGCTCTTTCCATACCACACAACACCGTTTATTCCCAGGACACTTTCTTCCAGCCTTTCTGCTAGACACAGGTATTTTTTACACACTGTATTTATATCCTGCTTTTTCCATCCATTGGCCCAAATGATTATCATTTTCCATGCCACAACAATGTCTTAAAAAATAAATAAATTTATTAATTTTACTTATATTAGATAAAAACATTTTATCAACTAGATGTACTATTTATTATTAAGTTATTCCCTAATTGTAGGATATTTAGATTGTTTTCAAATTTTGCTTATTATAATTACTGGAGCTTTTCTTTTTTTAGTTAAAAAAGTGTTAAGTTTCGAAGCCAACTTATTTATGTCACAAACCAAAAAAAAAAAGATATGATTAGCTTTACCTTAAACTGTGGCTTTTCAGAAGTGGTTAGTGAAACATCACTGAATAATCTGTAAATAGAAGAAAAAAGCAAAATAAAAAAAACTTTCTTAAAACAGGTATACTCTCAGAGGATGGTCAAAGCAAAAAAAAAATGACACCTTGAGCCCAGGAAGTCCCCACGTGCCCCAGGAATGACTCAATCTACCATTTCTTGTTTATCGACACAGTCAAAAGAGTTTCTGGGCCACCCCACATGACCTTGGGAAAGCCCCCACTCCAGTTACCAGGAGCACTGGGTCAGCTATGGACTGGAAGTTATTTCCCCACCAAAGAGCAAAAGTCCTTTCACACTATGTAGTAAATTAATTTACACTTAAAAATTATTTTTGCAAATGGTTATTTATTATATTATTATTTCCACTTATTGCAAATAATATATATAGTATATATTTCTAAATAGAATAACTGGTTTTCCTTTTTTTTTTTTTTTTTGTCCCAGAGGAGGATAAAATTTATTCTAGAGCTCAATACAATAAAAATATGTGAGCAGAAAGGAATTGCTCTGATTAGAAGCTAATGAGAAAGTAATTATCTTCTAAGAAAAGTAGTGTTTTTCATGCTCTCTTAAAAAGAAATAGCAGCTTTTAGAGTATGTGTACTCTCTTTTCAAAACTATGTTATTGAAAATAGCATGAGAAATTCTGAACTGTTTTGACCAAAATAGGTTGGGGTGTTTATTTATTTATAATACTTTATTTTTGATTTTAGAGAGAGGGGAGGGGAGGGAGAAAGAAAGGGTGAGAAACATTGATTGGTTGCATTTCAAATGCACCCCAGGAAACAGAACCTGCAACCCAGGCATGTGCCCTGACCAGGATTTGAACTGTTGGTGAAAATGAATCAGTAACCTTTTGGCTCATAGGACAATGCCCAACAACTGAGTCACACCAATTAGGGCCAGATGGAGAGTTTAAACGGTTATTTGGCTAAGTGCCTAAATGTCTGTGAGTCTTTCCTTGAACAGTCCCCCTTTTTAAAAATCCAGAACTATGTCACAAGGAGGGATGACAGGGTTAACCTTTCCCCACCGAGCTCCCTGGGCAGTTCTGGAGGTGGAGATATAACTAGGCCCTCCAAGGCCACAGGTGTGTTTACTTCCAGACAAGGCATTTGAACTGGACTCAGTTCACACCTCTCCAAGTGCTCTTCTCAAGGCTGAAGCCCACAGGGTATAACAACGTAAATAAGGAAATAATATTTGGATACACTTTAGATCTGGAAGACTGGGAGAAAACGTGAGGGCTTTGGGGCAGAAATACAAACCCAAGTAAATCAACGTGGATACAGGCTGTTCCCTAACTACAAATGCATTCTGTTCTAGAATCTAGAAGTCTGTGAAAATTGTGTTGTTTCCCTAACTGGACCTATTTTCCCATGTTCACATTGTTCTTAATGGTGGCTGGTTTGGAGAGGGACTCATCAGTGTCAATCACACAGTAGAATGTCACATCCACGGGCAGAGACTTGGGCTGCTCAGCTCCTCATGGCTATAGCAGACCCTCTACAACAAACCTGAACTTCCTGCTCTCTGCTCTGTACTCTAGCTATATGTACTTCAAGCTCTCCCTGCCTGTTTCCCCATGTTATTGTTTCCTCAGGACATCTGATCTGTTTACAACAAGCTGGTACAGACAAAGCACTGGGTGTGTCACATGGAATGTAATGTTCACAAAATAAAAGCTGAATCAATATTAATCATAACGAACATTTAATAAGTACTTATTAAGTGCTAGGCACTGTACTAGGAATCATCTCTTTAAACCCTCCCAAAACCCTCTGAGATGAGGACTATTATTATCCCCATCTTATAGATGAGAAAACTCAGCTTCCAGAAGTTCGGGAACTTGTCCAAGGTCACTCAAGTAGAAGTGGTGAAGTTGGGAGAGGGGCAAAGGGGAAGAAAATGGGGACATCTGTAATAGTGTCAACAAAAAAAATAAGGGGAAAAAAAAAAAGAAGTGGTGAAGCTGGATCCACCCCCAGGTCCATCTAACCTCAAAGACTCCCTTCCTCACCACCCTGCTGCCTTTCCATGGACAGAAAATGCACCTAAAGGAAAGCCCCCAAAGCATTATTTCAACCACCTTAATTACCTAGTCATAACCCTGCTTAAGAGCGAATGTCTTCTGAGCTGCAAGCCTCTAGCACAGTGCCAGTACATGTTAGACATTTAATAAATGTTACCCCGTAAGTAAATGAACAAACAAGTGCATGGGAGGCTAGACACATTCCGTACTCCTCCCTGCCCTCCTCACAGAGGGCAGACCCTCTAAGGCCAGTGGCTTGTGAGCGAGCCACAGCTGTGGCCCAATAATGCCCAAAACAGGGTGATGAAGGGCAGCTGCTTGAGGGGGCCCTCCTTCAGTATTTCCTAAGCGAGGGGCTGCCACATGGACATATACACAATGCTAGTGTCGACAGGGAGAGACACACGTGAAAACGAGGCTGAGGTCCAAGCAGAGCAATCAGACTAAGGGAGCAGAGAGGTCACAAGGAAAGATCGTGATATCATGCTGCAAGTGACTGTCAGCAAAGAGGTCTCTTGGACTCTGCAAGTTAGAAAGATAACAACCAAGGTGTATGATTGACTTACGGCATCTGTAAGAGCCGGGAGACGGTAGGCATGCCATTTTTACAGGCTTCACAAGACAGCGTAGACTCCAACACGGCCACTTGAAATGAACAGATACTCATTTTAGTTCCACAGAACACGCTGGCAAATCCACTTGGTGATAAAAAATTCGACACTGCTTTGCAACAACTGTCTGTAGGCTGATCAGGACAGTGTCAAAACTTCACGCGCAGACAGATGGCAAACGTGAGGAGGGGGAATGCTGGCAACACTGATGTTACCGAGGACTCAAACTAAGCAGTTTAGAAACCACACGCTGACAGACAGCAAAATATACTTCAAAGATAATTGGAGGAAGGATTCGAGATATCATTGATAAAAGTGTTTGCTCTCTGAAAGGAGAAGTAAACACTAAACAGAGTAAAAATTTTGAACTTGAAACGCATTTTGCTGCTTGCCTGCTCTTAATCAAAACCAGCATGCAAAATGCCAATTGTTGATACCTCATCATCCAACACCTTGGTTGATATAAACATAAGCAGCCAGATTTTTCTACTCACAGGTCACTGTTCAGTTTCAGCTGTTCAAACGCTACACAAAACAGTCTCAGGGTCTGTTCTCTTGAACCAACTCACTTAACACTAGCGCTTGGTGGAGGACTGACTGCATACCTTGATGGTACACTGGTCCAAGAACTACCCTGCCCTCCCCACTCTGTGCTGTAGCAGTGAGTTCGAGCTGGCTGTGAGGGGATGAACGGGTGCCTGCTGAGTCTGTGTGAGTTCCTCCATCTCTCCTTCCTCACGATGCCTCCTGCCAGGCCCTGTCCGCCCCACCCCCCACTCTCCTCAGCCCCTCAGGTACACTGGAAGAGCTCCTGGATCCAATTTGCCGCTGTCTGCTTTCCTGCCTGCCTTCCCTAGCTCAAGGCCTGCTAGGCTCCTATCTCCCAGGTATCTGCCCATGGCTTCCTTGTTCCTTGCAGGTCCCACTCCAGCCTTGGTCTGACTCCTGACACCTGCCAGAACTCTCAAGATGGGCTTCAAACTGCCTGATCCTGGCTTCTGTTTCTAGATCAGATTCAGCCTGGCCATACTGCTCTTTACATGCTCCTGCTTTTAAAATTCTAATGTTTGTTATGAAAATTCCCTGTTTCAGAGAGCCTGACAGGTGGACAAGCCATCTGAATTTTCAATGAAGTACATTTAAGTAAATTACTCAGATCTGGTTTGCTTTTAATTGGATAAGAACTTCTCGCTGTGGAGCATGACAACTTCCTCTGGTCTTTCCTGGATTCTAGAAAGGGGGTGAGTAGCTCACCAGACTACCAGGGCCCAGAAGACCCCTCCAAATCCCATACTGACCCACAGCCATAGACGGGGCAGGAGGGAAAGAGTCTACAGGCACCGAGTCTGGAGGTCGTCCATAGGTCATTTCATACAGTAAGTGGCCAAAGCAGTGGACGTCCACACTTTCCAACGTCTGTGGAAGAAAAGAGAGCAGTGGCATGTTCCTCTTTCAGTTTGGCCTTCTGCATCCCACTGCCCCTGCCCTTGGCTTCCACGGAGAAACAAGGCCCAGGGTGATCCCACTCACTGGTAATGAAAACGCAACTCCAAAGCCTTTTGTAAAAGCTCACAAGGCATTGCTCTGACCAAAGGTCTTGGTTCTGCCCACCACACTCTTCCAATGAGTGACTCTATGCCCCTCCTTTTCCCAGCTATCATTTCAGCTTAGCCTCTTGGAGATACAGCAATGCTTTGTGGGAGAAACAGGCCAACAGACATGGCCTACCCCAACTGTACCTTACACTGGTTCGTACATATTTCTTACATGGGCAGATCAGGGGGTCTGGCTGTAGGGATGATTTATACCTCAAAATGAACCTGCTGTTTCATTATTTTTGGCAACTTACATTGATTTTCCTGAATTGTGAGAAATAAGATCGGTAGAAGGAAGGAAGGCCCAATAAGGAATTCTCAAGGTCTAGCAGCCGGCAAGTGTCCCCATCTAGCATCACATTAGAGGCGTGAAGATGCCCATAAGGGAATCCTTTGTCGTGTAGAAACTTTAGTACCTATTTAAAAATATGTACAAGTTACATTTACCCCCAACTCATCCAGATATAAGACAGGTTAAAGTTTGTCTTTTGAGTCAGTATATTTTCAAACAAAATCAAACAGTTCACTGGGGAGATTCCTAAAGAAACTGTCACCTCCATCCATTTCTTTGGAAAAAGACGTGATGCTGAATGCTTCCCAGCTGTGAGATGTAATGTAATGCCAACTCCCTCACTTCCAAAGAACAGAGAAGCAGCCTGTGCCTGTTTGGGGTTAATAGCTTTATGCCAAAAGCCTCTACATTAAGCACTTCCTCATCCCAATAGGCCAAGCCTTCTTCAGGGCAAAGCCCTGATCCTTCTGCATAGAGGAGTAAAGCTATCATGGCAGTGCTTGATAGGGACCGTGTTAAAACATCTCTAGTACAGTCTGACCTTAGAATATATTTGGTTGTTTATTAACAGAAACATATGACAGGCTCCCACAAAAAGAAGCAAACATTTAATAAACAGTGGCTCACCCAGTAATAGAAGTAGCTAGGACAATCCATTGAGGACTGGAAAATATATTACGATTTCTCTGCTTTTGTTTTTGTTTTTGTTTTTTAAATATTTTATTTATTTATTTTTAGAGAGAGAGTAAGGGAGGGAGAGAGGGTAAGAGAGGGAGAAAGAAAGGAAGAGAAACATTGACGTGCAAGAGAAACCTCAGTCAGTTGCCTCCTGCACACCCCCAACTGAGGACCTGGACCAAAACCCAGGCACGTGCCTTGACAGGGAATCGAATTGGTGACCTTTCAGTTTGTGGGACGATGCCCAGTCCACTGAGCCACACTAGTCAGGGCTCTATTTGTTTTCTTTTTAATCTCATTCTTAACCTATAATGTACAAAATATGTTAATAGTAGTACAGGCATACAATATTTAAATACATACATCAAGGCGGGGCAGGTTATGCTGAAATTGTTTTCACTGATAGGGCTGCCCAATCCAAGAAGCTTGGCGAATACTGCTCTACAGAGTGATGTGGGAAAAGCTTTTCATGCTAACTACACTTCAGTAAGGGAGCCATATGGTTATGTACATAACAAAATCAAGAATTTTGGCACAAAGATAAAGATCAACCAGAAATAACACAAAAGTTGGTACCCACATAGTTGAGTTCTTAAAAATCAGACACTAAAGTCCAGTAGCTAAGCTTTTTGGAATTTTGTAGTTCTAAATTAGTCTTAGTCTCAAACATTTACTTTTTGGGACCAAACATGACAATGCCATCAGTTTATAAAGAATCAGACAACTTAAACTATTGTGGATATTGCTTAAGGACTTTCCCAAAAGAATACTGGAATGCTGGGTGAAATTCCAATGCAACTTAAAAATTAAATACTTCTTACCTCTAGTATTTGCCGCCCGTATGTTTTTATTTGCTGGAGTTCAAGGCCCTGGATCTTCTTAGGGTTGCAGTACTTCTTTAAGAATGGGTCTTTTGGTTTTGACTTTGGAAAAGAACAAGGAGCACATGAGAAACAGAAGGGTCAACATCTGCACACAGGCTCCCCAACAGGCAGGACTCTACAGAGACTAGGGGCGCCAGACTGTAGGAGGTAGGTGTTTAAAATACAAGTCTGTAAAGCTGATAGAAAGAATCTGATCCTGGATTTCATCCCATCTCTAGTCCAGTGAAGATGTGTCTGGTCTTGGCCTTAGCCAACCCCAAAGTCTTATATACTGTTACAATTTTTCACTATTTAAAAAACTTTTTTCCAACTTTGAGATAATTTGGTATAGCTTTGTTAAACTGACCACAGCCTACAATGCAATGGACATAATAATCATTAAATGTTCAACCTTCCCTCATGTGGGGAAGGAATGCTTTTTAACTAAACTGGGTGGTTTTTTTTACTAAAATCAAAAGAAATTCCAAATAAAATTAAAATAACATTCTCAGGGCCTAGTTTCTGGAACCTCAGGGATCAAGTATCCATAACAGGTTTTAAAGGGACTTGCAAATATCTCTATGATCATGAACTTGTACCAAAAAGTACCTTGTAGATCAGGTCCTTCAAAGTTCCTTTTTCATTAAACATCCTAATAAGCAATGCTGAGGATTCATTAGCTGTGGCAAAGGTAACCCGATAGATATAAGGGTGCTGGTAAAACAAAAAAGAAATTCACGTTTATTTGTGTCCAGGATCTGGATATTCAGAGTCAAGTACCATCTCAGTATTTTATTTGCATACAAATGTGAGTATAGTCCCTGAACACATGGCATTTTCAAGTTATTAGATGAGGAACTTGTGCGTCATTCTTTAAATGAGAGAAGGAACATAATACTGACAAAAGGAAGTGGGTAGCTGATGTGGTCAGCTTTAGATGGAAGGCATCTGCTTTGGTATGCATACTTCTCATAGTTCAGGCAAAAGTGCGATGGAAGAAAAGGAAAGCCTGAATTTTTAGAATAGTGATTTTCATATTCTGCCTATGTAAATCAATAAAGAATAAGCTGAATCCTAGAGCAGCAAAGTGGGGACCAGGATAGATGTATCTTCATTCACAGTGTTGCCTAACATTCCACATTGCTGCACTCCACCAAGCCAGGGAGCATGCAAAAGCAGCATTTTTGGGGATTGTGGCCCTTTTCCAAAGCAGCTAGCATGACTCTTCCTGTCTCTTCTTGGAGTATGCAATATGATGATTCACAGTATCCTCCTGAGATGGTGATTGACGTCAACCAAGTGGGGCGGGGTGTAAAACAAATTATTAATGACTGAAAGGAAAGCAGTCATATGGCCTGAAATTTTGGTTACATTTACCAACTGGCTCCAGGCAGGTATTACAATGTCCATTAGTTCAAGGAAGTAACATGAAAATTTAAACACAAGGGAGCTGGGCTATGCAAAGATGTGGGGGGCAGGGATTGAGTGGGCTGAGGGGCAAAAGTAGTAATTGATCATGAAGTTTCTCTTGACCATCACATCGAAATGATTGCTGGTGACATTTTAATAGCTTTACTGAATATAACTCATATAACATTATGATTCACCTATTTAAAGTGTACAATTGAATGGTTTTCAGTATATTCATGGTTGTGCAACTATCACACAATTTAATTTTAGAACATTTCATCACCCACAAATAAACCCAAGGAATAAAATAAAAATCGTTGAGTTCTACAGAAATAAATAAAGAAGGAAGAATAGGAAGCTATTCCTTACAGTAGAATGCCAACTAATAAATATAAGAGAAATGATGGAGTTAGAGGATCTCAACAAATGCTAAACCTAGTGGGTTTGATAAAGAATGGGATATTTATATAGTCTCAAAATATCTCCCTATGATTACTTACTGATTAATTCTAGTTATTTACCTGAAGAAAATAATTAAGAATGAATACAAAAATTTAGCTAAAATTGTTCACTATGGCTTTTTTTTTATCCTCACCTGAAGACATGCCCACTGATTTTAAAGAGAGGGGAAGGGAGAGAAAGAAAGAGGAAGAGAAACGTCGATGTGAGAAACATTGATTGGCCACCTCCCTCACATGCCCAGACAGGGGACCAAACCCACAACCCAGGCCTGCACCCTGGCTGGGAACTGAACCCGTGATCCTTCGGCTGAAAGGATGATGCTCCAACTGAGACACGGCAGCCAGGTCTATGGCTTTTTTTTTTTTTTTTTTTTTAAAGGGAAAATAACTGGAGGTGATCCAAATATCCAGTTTATAGCCCATGATAATTCTATGCAGCCAGTAATAATGATGTTACTGACAATAAAAGAGGTTCATGGTAAGCTTCCTGGGTCAGATGGATAAGGACATCAACACCTTCTCCATGCGTGTCAGGTAAAGTGCAGGGTGACCCCTGAGAATGGGGTCTATGGCCTGCTGTTTAGCTCATTTTAAATCCTGAGATGAGGACTGGCTCCAGTGGGGAGAACAATGTGGGGTAGGGCTGGGCCACCAGTGCTTCCCACAGGCTGTGTTCTTACACTGACTGTACAGAAAGAAAAGGCAGAGCAAACCCACCCCATACACACCTCAGCCCGGGCTCTTTGCCTGGTCTGTATTGTGAATAGGGGGCATGGAGGGAAAACAAACAAACAAACAAACATGTCTACAGTACACTACTAACAAAAAAAGCCAGGTTTTAAAATAATATAAGTGTTTTCATATCATATAAAATTCTAGAACAGTAAGAACTGAACATTTTTATTTCTGATTAGTTGAAATTATAGATGAGTTTTCCTTTCTTTCTTTCTTTCTTTCTTTCTTTCTTTCTTTCTTTCTTTCTTTCTTTTCTTTCTTTCTTTCTTTCTCTCTCTCTCTCTTTCTCTCTCTGTTTTCTGACTCTTCTGCAATTAATATGTATCATTTGTCCATACCACCTTCTTTTTAAAAAACATATCCATTAAAAGAATGTAGAATTGCATGCTGACAGCCTGTGTCAAACAATTCATCAAACTCAAAGACCACATCATTTTTCTTGGCTACACATCACACCTCATTAAAAGCTTGGTTTTGCTAGTTTGACAAGGCACTCTTTCTTCAAAAACAAACTTGCCAACCCAACTGGACAGGTTAGAGTAACTGTGCTCAGTATATGAGTGACTCACTCTACAGTCCTACATCCTCACACAGATCACAGATAAAGAACATCAACACTAACTTAATTTTCTGGACAGATAAGTCTTTTCCTGAAGACATTCTGCATCTATTTTGAAATATATTGATGTAGTTCTTTCCATCAAAGGCCTTTGATTAGAATTGTATATTAGCACAAACTATACCAGGTTCTCCTAAAGACCACTTGGTTAGCCTGTGGGAATAGTAATTCAGACAGCAAAAGGGTTATTTTGCCTTTTCCTCACCCAGCTTACCTAAACCCTTATTAGTTCTGATTTCTCGGGCTAGAACAGATCTTTTAATTCCATTTATATAAACATCTTCACCAACAACAAAGTGTCTAGTTCCTATTCTGATATTTGCTTAAAATACAAAGTTCACATTTAAATTACCACATTTCATGGGTTGTGTATTATAAATGCCATTTAAATGGCCTCCAATCTATGGGACTAGTCATAGCAGTTCTATGGAACAACTTCAATCTGAACTGAAGTGCAATATACCCTCCATTCTTTTGAGTATGTCCAGCATTTTCTGTCCACAGAAAACACTGTGAGTCTGTCATCAACACCAAGCATAAAAGGAACTGTACTCACCGAACAGGAAGGCAGGAGTTTGATTAGACACTGAAAATCTTTATCTGGCAGATACTTGTCAGGGCCAAGGTCAGCCTAAAAACATGGAAGGAAATATCAAGGTGCTGCCTTTAGTCATTTAAAAAAAAAAAGAAGATATAGAATTGTACACCTGAAACCTATATCATTTTATTAATCAATATCACCCAATAAATTTAATTTTAAAATTCCTATGTCTTTCTCTTTTTTTCTTTGTCCAAATATATGAATGTAAACCAAAGATGAAAACAATCTAAGTCTTGCAGCCTCAAGGCCTTTCTGGAAAGATAGAACATAAACGTATAAAAAGCAGGACTTAATTGTTGTGTTATCAAATTCCATTAACCACATGTATCACTAGAACTCCCAAAGTGAGAGGTAACAAAGTAATGCCGAAGGACTTTCTTTAAAACAATTGACAACACTGCCAACCCTAAAGAGGTTCCTGAGAACTATTTTAAACTGTTTCTACTTCTTTCCAAATGTTTATTAGTTGATCAAATATAATCACATTGAAATAACCCAATGAACAAGCAAAGTGACTTAAAATGATTCTCTTTTGATGTGGGACTGAGAAGAACTTTATGACATCACTTAGGAGCACAATATAGTTTCTTAATTCTCTTGTCAATATCTGTTTTCGTAAACCCATCAAGTCCCTAAAATGAGATGGAAACAAAAACCAGCTTACCCAGCTTAATACTAGCCGTTCCTTTGGCTGATTTTTAATCTTCATCAAGAAGTATTTCTTCCTTATCCTCCAACCTGCCATTAAAGCAGAAATATGTTTATAGCTACCTAATTTTTATGCCAGTGAAGTGTTTCATTGACTGAGTGATAAAACTTAACTTTGGTAATATTATCCACAGCTATATAGGTGCAAGTAAAACAACCATTTGGTAATGTTGACATGGTAAAGATTGCACTAAAAAAAAGCGGGGGCGGGGGGGGGGAGGCAAAGGAATTACTCCAGTCACAGAAACAGCACTTTGGTTTAGATTTAGTGAATAAAAAGATGAGGAACGAATGATGAAACCAGGTTGAAAGTATGTTACTATCATCAAAATCCTCAGATGGGACTTTAACCATGATTCACTAAGTCTTGAGAGTTAAGGACTGCATCCTCAAGCAGTAGGAAGACAAAAAGAAAAAGAAATCACCTGCATTTAAGAGATTTCTTGGGATACATATAGGAAAGCATGACAAAGAAACCAGTTCTGGGATCTGTCTTTTTTGACAGAATGGGCTTGCCAGTTTCTCACCTATGTCTTTCAATGGTTCTACCACCTCCCACTTGGGTTCTGATCTGAAGAACATGGAAACCTGTTGTAAGGCGATCTCTGCAAAGACATTTTTGAAACTCATTAGTCAAGCATATCAGAAAAGTACCATATGCTTAAGATATTTTTCTTGCAAATGACCTTAAAAAACTTAATTACAAAAACAAACACAGACTAATTGCAACGTGGGATTCTAGATTGGATCTTGGAACAGAAAAAGGACATTAGTGAAAAAAATAGTGAAATATGAATAAAATCTGTAGTCAACAGTAACGTACCAATGTTAAGTTCTTAGTCTTGGTAAATGTTCTGTGGTTATGTAAGATGTTAACATCAGGGGAAATTGGGTGAGGGGTATATGGAAGCCGTACTACAACTGCCATTTTTCTGTAAATCTAAAATTATTTCAAAAAAGTTTATTAAAGAAAATATAATAATTAATCACTAATGTTGTAGGTAAGTATACTCATATACTGGAAGATCTAAAATATTCAGATGGTGTAAGTCAAGAATTCAATATATGCACCAGGCCACAACCCAAGCACAAAACTTGGAACAGTATTCAGCGTTGCTTCAAGTGATGTTTATCCCATCTTCATTCCTTAAGGAATTATAGCTTTCACCAACAAAGAAGCGATTAGCTTTAAATATATACTGGAAATAAAAGCCAGTATTTTAGAAAAACATCTATGTACAGCAACAACATGGTTCTATCATGGGAAGTGATGGTGTGCCTGTTTACTGGAAAAAACCCATGTTTCTTTTTGTGTTCGTTTATCATGAGAATGTTTCCTCCTTTTAAGAAGACAATGAGAAGAGGAAGTTCTTTAAAGTTCACTGTATTAAAAAAATTATCAGAATAACTGTGCTTTTCCATTTCCTAAAAAAAGCAGCATCTGTAACTTGCTATTTCTCTTCAATGCAGTGTGTAAATGAAGCCACTCCTGATTCCTGAAAGCAGACAGAAATCCTGCAGATTCACTGGGGAATTTCACCTCTGTGTAGCATTAATTACATTTCAGGCAGACTGGTAAGACAGAAGGGATTGGGCAGAAATGCTCTGCATATGTCAAAATAACCTAGTCTGGAACTACCATGCTGAGAGCTGGGCACACAATATCATTTTGATGTACTTTACAGTACATTATGAGTTCAGAGACTCAGGGAAGAGAATCCGCTAGCTACTTGTTTACTGACTCAATATGTAAAGTGTCCGTCTATCTGCACAGAAGAAAAGATGTGAGAACCAAATACAAAACTGATTCCATTTACATTTGTTCTAACTACTCCAATGTGAATAGCCATTTGGAGGGACTGGGTGTGAGAGAAGCATATAAGTTTTCATTATCAACACTGGGAACTCTGTTTCTTCTCCATAAATAATGTTGATATAAAATGTTTTCAGTATTTATGAAATAACTTGAACGTAAACAAATTTAAAGGAAATCCTTTTTTTGTTGTTTTGATTTTGAGAGAGAGAGAAGAACATCAATTTGTTGTCCCATGTATTTCTGCATTCAGTGGTTGTTTCTTGTATGTCCCCTGACAGGGAGCGAACCCGAAGCCTTGGGGTATGGGGACAACACTCTAACCAACTGAGCTGAGCTACCCAGCCAGGGCAAAAGGATATTCTTTTAGGTGAAAATCATTCATATAAACTTTGAGAGGGATCATGAAAAATAATTTTCTAAATGCAGTATAATGTCATTCTAAGAAACTGTGAAGGACAGTTTGTTCAAAACTAACAGTGACTCATAATTCCCACAAAATCATTATTCAACAATATTTACCATATGCTACTACGTGCTGTACATTGTTTTAGAAATGGGGAAACAGCTGTGAACAAATGGAACATGCTAGATTTGTACTGTACATTGTTTTTGAAACGAGAAAATAGCTGTGAACAAATGGAACAAATGGAACAAATGGAACGTAAACAAAATGGAAGGTAAATTGAGGACTGGGAAATAGCTTTTTATACCTTAGTGGTCAGGGAATTACGGAGAGGCCATTTTCCTTCCACTAAACTAAAATTTATTGTCAAGTAAATTTCATGACTACTATGCTCCCAATATTAATCCCCCTTCCGCAGGCAACACACTTAAATCCTTAAGCATCTATTCCTCTGCTCAGAAGCTTTTAGTGGTGCCTTATTTCCTTACCAAGTCAAGACCAAGCTTCTAAACCTAATGTTCAACTACTTTGTCTCCTACAACAGTCAGTGCCTCTCACTCCCTTCACTCTGAGATCTGCCTCCCTCCGCCCCTGCAGACTGGCCTGGTCCCACCCCTCAGCATTTCCCATTCTTGCCCATCGATCTGCAGAGGCTCAGCCCCAATTTACTACTCCCCTGGCCAGGACTCCTTCTTTTTTCCCTCCTGGTGCACTCTCAGTGCTGTATCTGTCCCTTTCCTTTGGGATTCACTCACAGACTGCCCTATATTAGGGCTCCTCTCTTCCACTAGACCAGACGCTCTGCCTGGCCTCTCCGCCTCGCTAACTTCTGCTCACCCCTCAGATCTCCATGTACATAGCACCTCTTCTGGGAAGGCTTCCATCTTCAGATCTAAATCGTCTGCAACCCTACAAACTCCCCCATCCCCCACCCAAGGTTATGTCCCATGTTTCCCCTGCCACAGTCTTGTCCCTGCAGAAGTGCCCAGGGCAGGGGTGGAGGGAGGTCATTCCTTCTGTGTCACTGTATTCCTAGCATCTGGCACATAGTAGGTGTTCAATAAGTATTTCATGCAGTGAGAACTAAGGGTTCAATACATATTCAATGGGTATGGATGCCCTCTCCCCTTAGAACATGAAAACCATGAAAAGGAAGGCCCCTGCCCTCATTTTCTGGAGCACTGATAGAGACGTAGGGGAAAATGCAGGCTCATAAATGCAGATAAACAAGCCCCAGACAGGAAATGCTAAGTGAAGCCTTCAAGTCCATCCTGCTCTCCCCACAGAGCTCAGACTTTTCAGCTCAGAAGACACGAGGCGCCCCCATTATGTGCAGTCTTTGAGCTCCTAGATCCCAGCCCCATGGGATGACTACAGGGAACAACACTGACCCTTTCGGTCCTGCCGCAGAGCTCCAGGTCCCTAATCAACTACATGAAGTGGCGTAGCAGAGGCCTGTGCAGCAAACAGCTGGGCATGGGCCTCCAGCTTCTCCAGAGCATCCTGCTCTTGTTCTGAACACAATCCCCTACCCCCAATCTCTCCTTTGGAACCTCATCCTGGAGCCCACTATTATCAATCTATTTGTGGGATTTCTGGGGCTTTAAGACCAAAAGGGAGCTTCAACACTCCCCAGTCCACCACCCCCTCCCCCAACTCCTGTTTCATAGGCCTGGACCCTGAAGCCCACGGAGGGGAAACGCAGCTGATGACAAAGCTGGGACTGGGATCCAGGCCTTCCGATTTATGGGCCAACTGTCTTCTGTGTAAACATGAGAACCCCCCTTACTCTGAGGAGGTGTGAGGTTTGAGGTGGGAAGATGGCTACCGTGCAGTGAGGATTTCACATGATAGAAGAATCTTGCTGACAAAATGAGTAAGGTGGTGGTGGCAGCGGTGGTGTGTGTGTCCCAACACCAGCCCCTCGTGACTGGGGGACACCTGCTTTCCTTGTACAATAGCTGGTCCTCAATTAAACTTTCTAACTCAAGTGAACACCTCACAGGTCCCGTATGGAAGATGAGCCACACCGAGAGTTGGAAAGCCTGGGCAAGTCTGCCTGGCTTTCTGGGGAACGGCTCAATCAAGCTGACGCAGAGGAGGCCCCTTCCTGAAACTGCGGGTGAGTCAGCCTCGGGCCATGACGAGTTCTGACATTTTGTTCGGGGGAGGCGGGGGGGGGGGCGGGAATATCAGCATCTCTCAGAAAACAGCAACCTTCCCCTACTCTTCTGTTACAGGACTGTGTCCTCTACATAGTGGCATCTCCTTGAGCATTTGGGTTCTGGTGGAAGTCTCCAGTAGTCTTTGTGTCCCTCTGCTTTGGACTCCTGACTGCTATGCTGGGGGAGAGAAGAAAGATCAAGGACAATGGCAGCATGTGAGAGTGGTACAGTAGAAGGAAATACAGGGATCAGACTACCTTCCAGGGTCTGAGAAGCATTTTAATTGGAAAACACTCAGACACTGTACACTTATACAGTCATGCAAATGTGCCACCCTAGGTAAGGCCTTCCTTCTCGGGGGGCCTCTCATCTATAAATTGAGAGGGTAAGTATTGATGTATGTGCTTCAAGATCCCTTCTAGCTCTGACCCCAGGTGATTCAATGTACTTGTGATACAAGCTCCCTGAGAGTAAGGAGAGTATATTCCTTGAAACTGCATCTCCAGCACCCAGCCCTGCACCCAGCACACAGCATAGGCACAGTGGAGTCTAGGTTTGTGGAATGAAAGGCATCATCACACGTGCACCACACCTTGAGGCTTGCCCTCGGGAGAACGCTAGCAGGAAATACGGTGGGCGAACCAATGAACTGGGCTGAGTTGGGGCTGATTTGATAACAGTCAGTCCCGACAGCCCACCTTCTGACAATTTTGGGAACAATTAAGGTGCAGCACAGAGAAATGAGAGAAATGAGAGACGCTGCTGTGAAAGAATGTGAGCTGTGCTGGGAGTGCCTGTCCTGTAATGATTTTTCTCCCATGTGAACCAAAAACAGTGGTGGATGAATGGAAGCCTTGTTAATAAGGCAATTTCAACTTGTAACCTGTAGTTAATATGAATCTGAAATAAACTTTCCTTCATTGCACTGCATTCTGGAAAGGCATTTTTCTTACTCCTACTTCTATTAGAAGATGGCAGGTACATTCTAGAGTGAGGCTTCTCAAACTTTAATGAGCATGCAAATCACTTGGGGACCATACTAAACTCGGATCCCGATTAGTAGGTCTAAGATGGAGCCTGAATTCTGCATTTTTGACAAGCCCCCAATAATGTAGTGCTGCTGGTCAGAAGGCCACACTGTGAGTAGTAAGGTCCAAAGGCTGTGGTTTTCAAACTCAGCTGCATATTGGAATCTCTTGGGGAGCTTCAGAACCACAAGACAGCCCTAGCCTGGTAGCTCAGCTGGTTAGAGTATAGGCCCAATGTCCCAAGGTTGTGGGTTCTATCCCTGGTCAGGACACGTACAAGAAGCAACCAATGAATGAATAAATAAGTGGAACAACAAACCAATGTCTCTCCCTCTCTTCCGCTCCCTCTCTTCTTCTCTCTCTCTAAAATCAATTAAAAACAAACAAACAAACAAACAAACAACAACAACAAAAACCCCATAAGCCACACCTTCAGAGATTCTGATTTAACTGAATTAAATTAGCAGGAGTGCAGTCTGGGGATCAGGATTTTGTAAAGCTCCCCAAGGGATTCTATTCAGGCAGGAAAGTTTGGTGCCTGACAAGCAAGCCTCTACTTCCCTCTTTCTGAGAGGAATGAAATTTTTTCCAATTGCTTTAAAAACAGGTTTGGTGGTTTTATTTTTTTAACCCTCACCTGAGGACATGCTTATTGATTTTAGAGGTGGGGAAAGGAGGGAGAATGAGAGGGAGAGAAATATCAAAGTGAGAGAGAAACACTGATCAATTGACCTTCGTATGCACCACGACCTGGAACTGAACCCACAACCTAGGCATGCACCTTGACTAGGAATTGAATCTGTAACTTTTTGGTTTGTGGGATGACACCCAACCACCTAAATCACACTGGCCAGGGCCCAAAGCAGTGTTTTTGAGGACCCAAAAAGTAGCATGTAAACAATCTATTTTCTTAGTGGGGAAATCAGCTTATTAATAAAACCCAGAATTCCATTTAGAAGGAATCTAAGCATGGTTTAGCTTTAGCAATCATTTGATTCCTAGTAATTAGTTCAATCCTACAGTGGTTTCCATTGGTTTCCAGTGTTTTCCATTAAGGCCACACCAGAATGTATTCAATATTTAATAACCCATTCTGCTGACACTAGGCTTAGGCAATCAATGCCAGCTTTGTGTGGAATCGGTACCCTTTCCACCTTGGTCCCTTGGCTGCCGCCCTGATCCCGGGAACATTTGAAAGACAGCTACCTCCTCCTTATGCTTTGCACTGAGTGGGTCTCAGTGAACAACTGGGAACACAGAGAGGACCTTTCTTAATCACTATTGCGGTAAAGTAATTCTGAGAAAAACCAGACATACTATATATTTGTAAATACAAAAATGGAGCCAAATACAAATAAATCATGATTACTATATAGGTAATCATGGATTATTTACTCTCTATTCTGTCAGGAAAGTTAATAGAGACGAGAATGTAAGTATACAGACACAGTAACTTCTCTTCCAGATTTTTCTGTGCAGGCATTACAAACATGTTAGAAGTAATTATTTTCTTCTTACACTTCTACAGTAAGTTACAATCAGGTAAGAATTAGTTAATGAATAATATCCTATAACAAATATATACATCTTCCCATTTGGAAACAGAGCTTCTCCCACATACTTCATCTCCAGCAAAGCACAGAGCCTCTTTAGCCATGTGACCACAGCTCACAGACCCCTTTGCTTACCAGTGTAGTTTGCAGAATAGTTGTTTGGATCTAAAAACTTCTTAACCAGCTCACAATTAGACAAGATATGATTTGTGGTGATAACGTTGAGATAGTTCTGAAGACCTTTCTGTCTCTCGGCTATGAATTCACGATCCATGTTACCAATCAATTTTTTGGGAGGAAGAGGTAGACATAGGCCTGCAATCTTTAATTAAAAAAAAAAAAAAAAAGCATTATACTCATGTCATTCCTAAATAAGATACAGTATCAGAATCCTGAGCCATCATATTCATTAAGTCTGAGACACCACAGATTTTAAGATGCATCCTAATTTCAGTGATGTGAAAATGTGAAAAGACTGTGCATCTTAGAATTCATAAAATACTGCATTAAGTATAATAACTATAAGACTTAATTTTTAAAGTGTTTTTATTTTCATCAAACTTATACATGAACATAATTTCAGAAGTCAAAGTTTTTTATTATTCTTCACAGTCCCATGACATCCCTCCCACCTCTGAACCTGAAGACATATTCATTCCTGACATATCCATTCCGCCCCCCACCCCTGCCCCCAGAGACAGCCATATTCAAGTCTTTCAGCCAATCCTACGGAGCACTGATGTTGTTATGTCTTGCTTTTTCATTTTTAGGAATTATCTATAAATTTCCTATCATGGAAGATGAGGAGTTAAGTTCTTTTTCTCTATCCTGACCTTACCGCCTACACATCCTGTTCCTAATCCTTCCAATACAGTAATGTTATAATTTTTTTACTTATTTACTTTTAGAGAGAGGGAAGGGAGAGAAAAAGAGAGGGAGAGAAACATCAAAGTGTGAGAGATACACTGATTGCCTCTCGCATGCCCCAGTTGGAGACCTGGCCTACAACCCAGGCCTGTGCCCTGACCAGAAACTGAACTGGCAACATTTCGGTTCGCAGGCCATGCTCGAGCCACTGAGTCACATCAGTTCAGGGAGTTAAAATTTTATTTAATGCAGTACTCATGTTTACCTTAGGTAACCAATATTCACAACAGAGCCAAAAAGCCATGCTCATTATGTTTAACATGGTTACTTTCTATCAACTGGCAGTTTTTTGTTTAGTTTTCTACTCAACTCCGAACTCTCTGGCTAAGCCTTTTCTCAACACATTCACATACAGAGATGCATTAATTTCATCTTCTTGAGGAGTATCTTCCAGAACTCACCATCCTGCTCTAATGGGCAGGACTGATGGTCCCTACACCCATTGCAAAGCCGGCATAGTGGAGCCTCCCTTCACCATCTTGCTGGAGATGCTTTTGCCTTTCTCCTACTGATGCTCATTTCAATGTCCATCCTTTTTCTTAGATGTTCCCCCTGTTTTTGGTGGAGATATTCTCTGTCATCTTCCTAAAAGAGGGGCAAGTTTTTGAAAGTTTGCATGTGTAAATTTGTCTTTATTCTATCCTCACACTTGATTGATATAGCAAGTCTTCATGTGGATTCTAAGTTGAAAATATTTTTTCTTAAGAATTTTTAAGAACTTCTTTATTGTCTTTTAGTTTCCAGTGCTATTGTTAGAGATTCAAGATTCTTGATTCTCCCCCCGACTCCCCGCTCCCCAACTCAGTACAAGCTTTTAGGATTGTCTCTTTGACCTCAGTTTGTGAATTCCATGTGCCTTTATGTGGGTATACTTTCATTCTCTGTGCTGAGCACTGGGGTCTTTCAATCCAAAAACTTGTAATATCCTTAAGTTCTTTGGTATTTTCTTGTATTAGGCCATTACTTCCTTTCCATGCCCTTTGCTTTCTTTTTCTGGAACTCCTATTTTCCAATATGGGACCTTCTGGATTGATCCTCTATTCTTATCTTTTCTCTTCTATTTTCCACCTTTGTTAAAATTTTTTACTACTGAAAAAGTTTTCTGGGATATTTCCTTTATCTTTCAGCCCTTCCAAAGAGTTTTAATTTCAACTATTATCTTTTTTAAAATTATATTTTATTGATCATCCTATTACAGTTGTCCTAATTTTACTCCCTTTCCCCCCCTCCACCCAAAAACCCCATTCCCTCAGGCAATTCCCCCGCCCCTGTTCATTTCCATGGGAAATGTGTAGAAGTTCTTTGGCTACTCCATTACCTATTCTGTACTTTATATCCCCATGGCTATTCCATAACTACCTATTTGTACCTATTAACTCCCTCACCTCTTCATCTATTCCCCTGCACCTCCTCCCATCTTGCAACAATCAAAACACTCTCCATATCCATGATTCTGACTCTGTTCTTGTTTGCTTAATTTGTTTTTTTGACTCAATTGTTGATAGATAAGTATTTATTGCCATTTTATTGTTCACAGTTTTGATCTTTTATTAAAAATAAGTCCCTTTAACATTTCATATAATAATGGTTTGGTGACGATGAACTCCTTTAGCTTTCTACTATTATCTTTTCTATTTTTAAGCATTCTTCCCCACTCCCTTAACAGTATCCTGAATGTAATGCAATTTCTTATCTGAGATTATACAAGAATTTTTCTGACGTACCTGAAATGTTCTTCTTACTGCGTATATTATGTTTCCTAAAGGCTTTTTTTCTTTCCTGTTTGTTTTGGTTGTTATCATTCATATTAACATGTTCCTTAGAAATCTGGTGATCCTGGGTGGACTGTTCATATATAAGAGCGGAGCACCAAAAGCTGATGAGAAGCTCTAGGTGAGTGCTGGGGCTTGTCTGTTGTGGACTTTATAGTAGCATATGCCCTCCCTCAGTTGTTCCATTGGGAAAACCTCTGACCTTAGTTTTAAGTCTAAGAAAGTCTTTAGCTCTTTCCTCTTTGGCTGGGCAGCTATCTCCCAAAATCTTCTGGTCTTCTGCCTGAGGGGTCTAGGCCTAGCTGCCAGTTTTCTGGGAGCTGAGAGGAAGACGGCAAAGGAGAGGTTGGTGGCTGGGGCACACGCTCCTATTTATTATGTAAATATTTTCAACTGTGCCTGCATTCTCCAGTCCAAAAACTATTCTTATCACTCCAGAGAATAAACTTCAGTTTTCTGCTGGAGGGTGAAGGGCAGGCATAAGTTGCTCACATTGGCAAGACTTGAGGATCTCATTACTTCTTAAACATACTTTCAACTCCTGATTCTTAAATACTTTATTTATTTATTTTTAGAGAGAGGGGAAGGGAGAAAAAGAGGGAAACACTGATGTGAGAGAGAAATATCAATTGGTTACCTCTCATACGTGCCCCGACCAGGGACCAAACCCACAACCCAGGCATGTGCCCTACCCAGGGATCGAACCCATGAGCTTTTGTTTTGCAGGACAACACCCAAACAACTGAACCACACTGGTTCCGAAGGCAGCGCCTGTGATGTCAATTGCCAAAACTTTTGGAAGCTCTGTGGTGTAAATTGGACCAAGTCGGGTTATCCACTCTCCACGTCAGAATTCTGCTTCCCATATCTGCATAATTAGTTAGCTCTCATCCACTGGATTTTCAGCTTCAAATGTTCTGCCGTAGTCCTCTCCTATTTGTCCTTGAGTGTGCGTGTGCACGTGCCCTCACCTATAAGATCAATTTACTGTTTAAGAGTGGCTTCAGGAGAGAGGAAAAGTAAATGCATGTACTCAAGGTACTATCATTTCCCAGATCATTTAAAACTTTGGAGTCTATTTTTCAAACTTACAAAGTAAAGTGTCAGATTAGTATCTTAATTTAATGAGTAAAATCACTTTCACAGAGCAGTGAGTGCTATCCTACACTTGTGCTAGATTAGGGCAGTCCAAGTGGCATGTGTACTGATTGAAAGAAAGGTCTGAAGAGAAGGCCGCCTTGAATTCAGACAAGGCTGTGATCTAGACCACCCATGTGGGCAAATCTAACCTAACCTGCTCCACTCTGTATTTTTCAAATAACAGTGAAGACTCCGAACTTGATATTAGATAAGATGGAGAGTTTGGCTGACAATTCTAAATTGCCTAGTTCTCCAACTATGAAAGAATATCAGAGCATACTTAAGAATGAATTTTGTACCACAGTACTGCCAGATAAGACACAAATTTTAGGTTGTTTTTCTCATTCATACAATTAGGCTTTACCTAATAGCAACTTATTTAGTAGCTAAATAAAAATCATACTTAGGAAGGAAGCATATCACTCAGCCAGTTCACAGCTAAGCCTATTACTTCATTATTACTGTTTTGTTCAGAAGCGTTAATACAGGTTAATCAAAGGTAACATATTACTGAAAACACAACTGATTTCTTTCTTTTTAAAACTCTCTTAAGTTGAAGAATATAATCTCCTGTGTGTACACGCGTTTGCACGTGCACACCCTCAGAATATGGTTATACATGCACAATAAATTCTAAAAGGACTCATACCATCTGCTTCAGAAAGGCTACCTCTGGGAGTGAGTCGATCAATTAATTTTTTTCCTATACTATAAAATGTTTTCATTACTCAATTACTACTTTTTTCAATTAAAAAAGGAAGAGAAAGAAAAATCTTTTTGCTTATCACATTGACTGCACACACAGCCAAGATTTTTTTAAATGTCACTGACCAGTATCAGCCCATCTGCTGACACTACCTGCCCAACAGCAGACCCTGCTACATCTCTCAGAATAGAGAATCACATCTGATATCACTGGATTCAAGCCTCAGTAGGGCTATTTTTCATTCATGGTGGGGACGTGAAAATGAATTTCATAGGGTATCTGTTTCAAACTTTGTGGCCTCCAAGCTCCAACCAATGTTTTCAAGCTTCACTTCACTTTAGGAAAATGCACTGGTCTGCCCAGACGTATCATCAGTTTTCCTGAACCATCAGGTGAAAGAGAAAGTTCTTTGCCAACAGCTGCAACCATCACCATGCGCCTGCTATGTCCGTCTGCTGGACACACTGGAGGTGTTTGCCTGCCCTAGTTCAGCATCTTACCACAAGTATTCCTAAAAGTTCTAAAACTATGCAATGTGTGTGTTATTTTAAAATCTTGTCTTTTAAAAAAGATTAGCATTCGAGATGCACTAATTTTCTCTTTCAGCTTTCTCCTAGAATTTCTAAAATGCTTACCACTTTCGGAATATAAAATTTAGAAATACAAGGACTAGTTAGAAGGGAGGGAAAGAGAACACTAGCACATGGAGTGACACAGTCACTCCGCCAGTGATTTCCTAGAAACCTCCACATTGATGGCTTGAATCCATGACACTTCATCATCCCATTTTCCATCGCTTTCTTCCTTAACACGCCCTTTGGATTCCCTTCTTGCATTCCTTGTACAAGGGATAGAAAAGTCCCCCAAAGTTCCATTTCTAACGCTGGCAGAGTGGCAGTGTAAATGGGAGATGATCACCAAAATGGGGCCTAAAGCCCATAATCTGTCCCATGCTAGTGTAGTAGAAGCCTCTAAATTACATTGCAAACTATATTACAGTTTCAAGAAAACTATATTTTGTCTGGAGGAAAAAACCTACAAACTCTGAATCTGTTAATCTCTCACTTCTGGTATCAGATCTTAATAGTCAACACACTGCCTTCCATCAGATTGCAGTGAATATTCTGGGGAGTTCTAAACTCTCAACAGAGCCTTAATTTGTCCAAATTTCCTCTCAGTGTACAGTATAGTCTCTCCTATGTCAAAAATCCAAATGACAAAACTTGTGCTATATCAGACCTGAGAAGTCATCTGGTTCAACCTTCCAGTTCGAATGGGGAAAGTGGGGACTGAGAGGGAGTAACTAAGACAAGATGGTAAGGGGCAGAGCCTGGGTTCCTTCCCACGTCTGAAGGCCCCCACCCAGTTCCAGTCATTTCAGCTCCTGCTTCCTTCTTGTTCCTTGTCATATGCCATCTCCCTAGATCAGCAATTTTCAACCTTTTTCATCTCATGGCACACATAAACTAATTACTAAAAATCTGTAGCACACCAAAAATATATGCTTTTTGCCAATCTGACAAAAAGGTATGATTTAGATTCAGTCACACTGGCCAGCTAATGTTATGTTGGCTGTTGTCTTTTTTTCTTTAATCTGACAATCTAAGGGAAAAGAGGTCAGTGCCCATGACTAAATAGTCGGTATTACATGTTTAAAAAATTCTTGTGGCACACCAGTTGAAAATTGCTGCCCTAGATGATCACTACTTTGATGGTGTCTTTAAAATACGGTGGGACTTTTCTTCGCTATTACCACAAAATATGTTCACTATAAAGAGTGGGGGAAGTGTAGCTTTTTTCTATTTTTTTTTCATATAGCTTACATGTGCTTATTTGTAGAGAACTTGGAAAGTACAGAATGGTATAAAGAACCAGAAAAATACATAACTCATAATCCTACCACCTGGCTTCACCGCTGTTAACATTTTGGCATATGGCCGCCCAATCTTTTTTCCTAAACATTTCATGTAATTATATTATATTGCATGTATAATTTTACACCCTGCTTTTTTTTCCACTCAGGCATTTTTCCTACTGAACTCAAGACAACTCTGCATTTATGTATTATATTTCTCTTTCTTCATCAGGAACTCATTATCTGTCAGAAGGGTAATGAGACACTGACAATCACGGCCACAGTTTTATTCTGTGGTTTTAGAATATTTTTGGTCTGTTTTATAGAAGATATTTTGCAATATTTTGTTGCCAAAAAGCTGTATGTACTTTCTTCTGTTTGTTTACTTGGATCCAGAAAAACCTCCCACTTGAAATGATATCTGGCCATATCCTGCCCAACACAAGCCAACATCAATACACATGAATATTTGCATTTGAAATAAGATGCACATTGAAAGTACCCATTTTAAAAGGGAAAATTACACTGAAGCAAAAATAAAATTCTATTATATTAAAAAGGCCATAATTAAGTAGTCACAGAGATCCAACCTTATATCCCCAAAGCAAGAACAAACAGGAGATAAAACCCTCCTCCCTACAGTCATTCTTAGAGGCTGAGCCTAGGCAAATTAACTTTGAGAAATATTTCTCCCACAATTCTTACTTAGCCCTGGCTGAAAAACGATGTGCAAAGATGACTCCACCTTCTTTAAAACTGGGCAAAGGTTCACTTATGCATAAAGGTGAAAACTCACAGTAGGTTCATTGTTAACTCTCAAATGCTTGCTCCACTGTGGAAATGTCATGGGGACATGTCTGGAGGGATTTGTGGAGAATATCCATGGCTGGAATGAGCTGCACATCGGGGCCTTGTCTATAATGTCATCACAGGCCCAGCTTTTGTCTTAGAGTAAAGAACATGCTATGAAAATCCATAAATGAACCCAACTAAACCCATCTATGAGAATTCAATCTCTGCCAATATTCTATCTAGAGATTTAAACTGGTCATACTATAATTAAAATCTTAAAAGACAACATGTGTCAAATGCATAGTCATGTGGCAATGACATAAATGTCTGCAGATACTCAGAACAACTCTATTGTAAGGAAAATGAGACAATCGTGCTTTTAGCAGTGCTGCAAATCATGTTAAAGTGTGGACTCTACAAATGCTCTTTTCCAAAGTCTGATCAATGAAACGTGGCCTCTTGATGAAAAGGAATCCTTCCCAGCCAGCAGTCCTCCTGTCCTTTTTGGACAGGATCAGGGGTCACTCAGGCTAAATGACGATGGCTAGCTTACCAGTGAAGGAAGCCATCCTTCAGCCTCCTTGCTGAGCTGGTAAGAAGCCAAGTGCTCTGGCTCAGGTATAAAAAAGGTTTTGTGTAACCAATCAAAGCTGAGCTATGACACAAGCCCAGTGGTGTTCAGTAATCCAGGGCCCTTGACCAATCTGTCAAGAGAAGACATGGATGGTACTGCCAGTATTTCCTAGGGCGCTAAAGCCCCTCCAGGACCCTTCAATCCTTACCAGCACTGGCTGCGTTGCCAGAGAAAGACTGCAGCTCATGCCTCTTTCCATTATGGTCACCACATTAGGAACACTTAATTCAAATGGAGTTAGAAATATGTATTTAAAATGAAAAGGTACACCAAAAAAGTCTCCGGTTAGTGCTGAACGTTGATCTACAATGCTGACTGCAGGGCCTAGTTTAGTGGAAAGAGTCTGACACAGTTCCAGCTCCATCTCAGTGAACAACTCCAGCAGTCCATGTAATCATTGTTAATGTGAGAAAAGGAGATAATACGCATCTCATGATTGCGGTAGAGATGCAGTATGGCACAGAGGTACACAGTTGCAGGGTGACTATTATTAAGCACATTTGTTCCCAAAGGTTTATTTTTAGAGCCACACATCATCTGTTCCCTTTGCCAGGGAAATTTGCTAATTTCTTGTTCTCATTATTGCTATTTCCAACTGGTTTCTAAGACACTCCAAACAAGCAATGTGTCATTACTGTTTTAAAATATTTACCTGCAAGCTGTTGTTCAGCAAATCAAAGTCGCTGTATCTCCTAACAACCTGTAAGAGACAAGACAGTGGTATTTTAATTCAGCAGTGACCAGCTCTTTTCATTTCCTTCTTTAATATTTATTGGCGTTATAGAGCCGAGGCACTTGTGCTAAGGATAGTAAGTCTTATACTTAGTCTTTAACTTCCTTAACTTGACAGGCCCAGAAAACAGACCCAGCAGTGTGCCGGAGTTGGCCGGGCCATGGGAAACTGGTTAATGCCAGCCAAACTCACAAGATGTCAACAGGTAAGAGCGAGTAATGATGTACTTCTGTTCAGTGCGAATCGCCATTTAAATTTCTTTCTTATTAACCAGGCACCTGGAAAGATGACTTAATGATTCACCAAACGTGATTTACTGAACATGAAATCAAAGAAAAAGGAGGTAGACAGTTTTGAGGTCATTTCATTCTTGACTAGTTAAAACTCCTCCCCGTTGAGACCCCACCACTCTGGATACTGTTCACACCTGTAGACAGAGAACCAACCCTTCTCCCTGATTCCCAGTTCCCCTTTTGGCAGACAGTCCACCTTCCATCATCCACACATTCTTTCTTAGTTATGCTGATGCCATTGATTAGGCCATTGCCAAATTCTACTGTCTCTTCAGGGTCTGGGCAAGGAAATTATTTTGCTTTTGAATAGTTTGACTTCAATCATTATTGATGATTCTCAGATGTTAACATGCAGAAGAAGTACCTGGAGATCACCCAGGACCCACCATAGAGAATCTAACTCAGGAGCTCTAGGGTGGGGCCCAAGAGTCTGCATTCTGCTACTTATCTCCTGGGATTCTAATGAATCTAGAAAACTGTATTAGGGATTGACTTTTCTGGTAGGATGCTGCTGGTAGTCCTGCTTGTCAAATATACATCCAAAGTTAAATATAAGGCTATCTGTGGTAAGTGCAAAGGAGCAAATTCAGCACAGTGGTCAGCCATGAAGAATACAAGAATTCCAACTCAGTTCTGTTGCTGATTTGAGTGTGACCTTGGACCAGTTACTTAATTCTCGAATGTAAAATGGGGCTAACATAGTGTTTTTAAAGGGTTAAATAAATTAATGTGCTTGAACCAGTGCCCAGCAATAAATGTTCAATAGATGTTAAATATTTTAATTATTCAAACAAAAATCAGGTTGAAATTTCAGGCAGGGGAAAAACCAAGTATGGGCCACTGTGGTCAAAGACTGCTCAAGTAAAGAAAAAGCCCTGGCTGGCGTGGCTCAGCGGATTGAATGGCCGCTTAAGAACCAAAAGGTCGCCAGTTCAATTCCCAGTCAGGGCACATGCCTGGGTTGCCAGGTCCCCGGTTGGGGGCATTCCAGAGGCAACTGACTGATTTTTCTCTCCCTCTCTTTCTTCTTCCCTTTGCCTCACTCTAAAAATAAGTAAATACAAATCTGTTGAGAGAAAGAGAGAGAGAGAGAGAGAAAGAAAGAAGAAAGGAAATAGGCCAAAATGGAGTCATTTTTGTTAAGCCAGGTCACCAAACCAAAACCCTAACTGCAATTTTAGCCTCTCCCAGGGATGGAATTTTAAACTAATCAGCACGGAATTGCCTGATCATCCTTAGTGGGGTAATCTGCCGGATAAACCCCAGCCCTCCCCTAACGAAAGCTGTCCTCGCCTGAAATAATCCATTCTTTTAACTTCTTAGTCCCACAATCTTTCTGCCTGTAAAACCCTTCCTCTTTGTACAACTCAGTGCAGCACCTCTGTAGCTGCTAGATGCGATGCTGCCTGATTCATGAAGAGCCTCATAAAGCCAATTAGGTCTTCGAATTTACTCAGTTGAATTGTGTTCTTTAACAGAAGCCTCAAGCTGGGCTGTGAAGGACAACATACTATGGGAGAGGAGGAAGGTAATGATAATTACTAAAACAGGAAAGAAATGGCCTCTAAATAGAATTCAGCCCCTTCTGCAAGTCCCCTGGAAGGACCTCTAGATCTACGCAGGAAGTGTTTTCTCTCTGAGGCCCACTAAGGAAAGCAGAGCCCCATCTAGAGTCTATGAGGGAACCAGCACTAGGAATTGCCCATGACTGAACTTGGAAGTCCATAAATGCAGTGTCCAAACTGTATAATGTCCAGGGCACTGTCTTGCCTTTCTGCCTGGTAGACTAAACTCTAACTTCCCCCACCCAAACCATGGCTGCAGGGAAATAGGTTCGAATTACTAGGAACAAAATAAGTAATTTGCCTATCCTACTTACTCTGTGTCTAGGTAGAGAACAAAGTCCTAGATACGCTTCATGGTAGCAAAATGGGAATAGAAAAGCCTTTTATAATGTACATGTTAAAGCTAAAGATTTATATCTAAAAGAAACGTAATTTATATTTATATATGTTCTCATTTTTCTATAGTTTTAGATGCCACCAGTCAGAATTTTGTTTAATTTAAATTTTATAAAATTTAAAACACTTTTCTAATAACAAAAATATGCTTACCTGCCAGCTGTTTTCTACAGAAATTCCTCTTTGCACCCGAATGATATATTCCTAAAAAAAAAAAAAAAAAGGAGGGGGGTTAAAGAGCCTTACTTATAAGACACTCAAATCAGATGATCAAAAATAAGTGAAAATATCAGACAGACTTCAGAACTGAGAAAATTACTGGAGATAAAGGACATTACACAAAGGTAAAAGGATTATCTTCCAGCAAGACGCAGCAATCTTACATGTGTATGCACCTAACACAAGAGACGCAAAATATGTGAGCAAAAACTGAGAACTGAAAGAAGAAATTGACCAAAATCCACAATTATAGTTGGAGACTTCAACACCCACCTCTCAGCAATTAACAGAACAACTAAACAAAAAACCCAGCAAAACTACAGAGGAACTCAACAATACCATCCACCGACAGATTTACTGAGCATTTTAGAATACTCCATCCAACAACAGATCACACATTCTTTTCAAGAGGATATACAGATGGCAAATAAACATGTGAAAAGATGTTAAACATTACTAGTCAACAAGCAAATGCAAATTAAGACCACAATAAGATTTCACTATATACCTATCAGAACGGCTGAAACAAAAAATAATGATACACCCATGCTGGCTAGGACATAAAGAAACTGGACCACGCATACATTGTCTGTGGAAATGTAAAGTAGTACAGCCATTCTGAAATACAGTTTGGCAGTTTCCTAAAAAATTAAAGCAACTATCGTACAACTCAGCAATTGCACCCCCAGGCATTTATCCCAGAGAAATGAAAGCTTGTGTTCATAAAAAAACTTGTACACAAATGTTCACAGCAGCTTTATTGTAAGAGCCCAAAAGTAGAAATGAACCAGCTGTTCTTTAACAGGTGAATAGTTAAACTTTGTTACATCCATAGCATGAAATACTGCTCAGCAACAAAAAGGAATAAATTACTAATACATGGAACATCTTGACATGTCTTCAGAGACTTGTGCTGAGTGAAAAAGCCAATGCCAAAAGATTAAACTACAGGTGGTCTCTAATTTATTATTTTTCTTTCAGTTTTACAATGGTGTGAAAGCAATAAACATTTAGTATAAACCCAATTTAAAACTTTAAATTTTTATCCTTTCCCAGGCTAACAATTTGCAGTATGATACTCTATCATGATGCTGGCCAGCAGCAGTGAGCTCCCAGTCGGCCCCAGGATCGCCACGGTAAATAATGGGTACTCAATAGTGCACTGTGTTGCCAGTGGTTCTGGATATTGTGTTCTGAGCACCTTTAAGACAGGCTAGGCTAAGCTATGATGTTTGGTATGTTAAGTGTACTAGATGCATTTTCAACTTAAGATATTTTCCACTTAGGATGAATTTATCGGGATATAACTCCATCATAAGTCGAGAAGCATCTGTATATGATTCTATTTACATAACATTCATGAAATCACAAAACTATAAATAAGAAGAACAGATTAGTGGTTGCCAAGAGTTAAGGCTGTGGGGTAGTAGGATGCATGTGGGAGGGAAATGGGTGGGGCTGTAGAAGTGTAACCATGAAGAAACTTTTCTTTAATATGACCTTTTCCCCCTGTTTTCCTCTTGATTCAGACTGGCCTCATCCAGCACCCTGACTCACCTGCCTCCTTCTCCCACGCATGTCCACTCCCTTAATCATTAAGCCCTCAGGACAATGAGATTCTGGTAAGCATCAAATAATCTTAGGAACAAAGTCACATGTCTATGGGCCCCAGAGAAAGAGTTTCAGTCAAACTAGATACAATATCTAGGCCTCACCTGCGTTTCAGTTCCAGGCCCAGATAAAGGGCCAGATGCACTGATCAATGATATTGTGATCCCCTACCCTAGCACCAATCAGTAGAGACCGGGACCCTGACCACGACCCTAACTCCCTTAGTCACCATGATTAATGATTTTTCCCCTATATAACCCATCCCCTGGAAGCCACTGGGGAGCCAGGTCTTTGAGCATTAGCTCACCTGCGACTCTGGGTGTGGGCCACTTCCTAAAAATAAACCCTTACTTTCTTTGTTGTAAACTCCTGCTTGTATCTTATTGGGCTTTGATGTACACAGGCAAACGGACACCTTTAGTCCAGTAACAGAATGGCAAAGTGAGGTGCTCTGGTTTGAAAATTTATGTCCCCCAAAATTTATATGTTAATTAAAGTACCAAGCGCCAAATATGATGGTATTAGGAGGTGGGGTGTTTGGTAGGTACTTAGGTCATGAGAGTGAAATCCTCGTAATGGGATTAGTGCCACATTAAAGAGGCTCCAGAGGGATCCCCCTGCCCCTTCTACCCTGTGAGGACTTTGAGAAGGTGCCAGCTACGAACCACAAGGACCCTCACTAGAAGTTGATTGTATTGGAACCTTGATCTTGGACTTCCAGCATCCAGACTGTAAAAAAATAAATTTCTGTTGTGTATAAGCCACCCAGTTCATGGTATTGTTATGCGGACTGAAGGGACTAAAGCATGAGGGATGCTTGGATTGATGGTGAAGGCGGGCAGAGTTTGCAACCATAAAATATGCCTCTTTGGGGATATTGACTATTTTAGGCTGGTTAATTTTAAGAAAGAGCTGAGAAGGGAGAAGATCCGAATAAGCAGAAATATTTAGAAATATTTCTAAAGAGAGAAATATTCTTCATATTTGTAAGGGAAATCTCCATTTGTAAGAGTGTTTCCCTCATGTAGAGCCTGCCTTCACTATCGGTGGAGAAGGCATGGGCTTCAATCTGCGTAACAACCTTGCCCTTGTTTACTGAGCTTTCCCTGTAACCCTCCACAATTTACTCCCCACCTTCAACATCTTCTGTCTTTTGCTGAAGGTGGTACTTAAGGTGGTGGCTTCTGCCATTTCAGTGAGTTACTCAGTTTTCCTGGTATCCCTGGAAGTATACATGTTACTAAACTTAAATTTATTTTTCTCCTGCTAATCTGTCTCACGTCAATTTGATTATTAGGCTAGCCAAAAGTACCTTAAAGGGTACAGGAAAATGTTTCCTCCCCGACATCTTGGAATGGAAATGCTCTGTATCTTGACTGTATTGATGTTAATGTCCTGGTTGTGATATTGTACTATAGTTTTATAAGATATTACTTACCATTGAAAGAAACTGGTAATGAATATATGGGGTGGCAGTCAGGAGACTAAAAGATCTGTGATTTTTAGTGTTCAAATGTTGCATTTTATATGCACAGTCAGCTAAAAAAGGCCATGATAAGGAAAACAAGGAAAAAGGTGAAATAGATAGGCAGTGATTGCATTTTGCAAAGAAGCCATATTCTGTAAATCCCCCAAACCTGCCTGACCAATAAAATCTCCCTGCTCCCTGCAGAGGCCAGGGGATGTTAAAAATACACATTCCCAGACCCTGCATCATCAGAATCTCTAGGATAAAAACCTAGGAATTAGAAGTTTTAATAGCATCCCCAGCTAATTCTTTTTTTTTTTTTTTTAAACCTCATCTGAGGATGTTTTTTATTGATTTTAGAGAGAAAGGAAGGGGGAGAAACACCTATGTGAGAAACATTGATCAGTTCCCTCCCATACATGCCCCAACTGGGGTTTGAACCAGCAACCCAGGTATGTGCCCTGACTGGGAATTGAACCGGCAATCTTCTGGTGCACAGGATGATGCTCCAACTAATTGAGCCACCCGGCCAGGGTACCCCAGGTAATTCTTAATTAAGTGAGCAATTTATTATGAAGGTGTGGTAGGCAGTTAGACATGAGCAAAGCAAGGACAATGGGCCAGGCACAGGTAGCCAGGGCAAAAAGCCCCTGGTGCGTAGCAATGGGCAAACCTGGGAAAACAAGGACCTCATCCCCAGGGTAACCTTTCCTTTTCTAGCATATTGCTGATCATGCGGTTTAGACCCCCTGACCTTTCACATTGCTGGTCGTGTGGTTCCAACCCTCTGACCTTTCTTCCCCTGGCATGTTGCTAGTCATGTGGGTTAGACCCCCTTAGGGCAGGGCCGAATAAGGGGGGCAGAGAACAGCCCTTAAGCATTAAGCTTCAGGACAATGAGGTTGTGATCCACATCAAATGCATCTAGGCCTCAGTTTTGTTTCAGCTCCAGGCCCAGAAAAGCAGCAAAACCAGACAAGCATGTCATGGCTGACATCAGGTCCGGCTGCACTGACTAATGACCGCCTGCCCTCGTGCTAACCAATCAGTTGAGACCACGACCCTGAAAGGACACACCTGGAAAGCTGATGAATAGTCTGTTGGGATCCTCCCCTGAGACCTCCAGATAAATACCCTCAAGACAAGAACCCTAAGCAACAAGGGCCCTTCTTTAGTCTCTGTAACTGGTTTCCCGAGCCCATTTCTTCTACCTCTGCCTTTCTAAGTAAACTCTCTTATAGTTTGAGTCTTGTCTCTGAATTCTTTCTTAGCCAGAACTCAAGTACCGAGGCTGCTGAACCAAGGTCCAGTCTGACACCACTGGTCTAACACCTGGTGTCGTTTCACTGCCAATAAAGGTATAAATTAAATCATTTAAAGTATGTTAACATTTTTCCCTCAAACGCTCAGAATTGTTTTAATATCATTAGATGGTATGATTTAGCCACTATTCATAGTCACTATTCAATAAGTGCTTATCAACACAGTACTCAACAAATCCTTTCAACTGAATGAATTCTAATTTAAATAGGTTATTTAGAAAATAAAGCCAAGCAAACATTGTTAACCTGGTAACTGGATTTAAAAATAGATTTTATTACACAGTCATTTCATTCTGTTGATTTAGCAAAGGCCAATAAAGTCCATATAGGCAAGAATTTCTGCCTTCTCTGGAATATGTAAAGGATAATACATTCAACAATATCCACTCAATTATGAGTGAAGTGACTATAAGCCTGGCACCATGCTTAGTTGGTTTCATGTGGGGTTATAAAATAAGTATTTCAAAATCTATTTGTGTAATGGGGCAGATCACTTAAGCAATATGCTAATGTAATTATTTCTGAGTAGTAAAGCCAAATGTTAAAAACATCTGACATTGTTACATTTTTGGATCAGTCTTTTA